GAATGGGGAGGCAGATGTAGGCGCCTCAGACCCACTTATCCACTTCACTGCACCCGGAAGCCTGGAGGGTCCCAAACAGTCTGGACTTGGGGCAGAGTGCACTGGACACTTACTGCAGGCCACGGAACCTCTGGAACTGGTGATGCTCGCCTGCTTGCTGAGAAATCCACAGTCCTCCAGACACACGGGGAGGCGGATGCAGGCGCCCCAGATCCGCCCAACCCTTACTCTGCACCCAGACGGTGCAAGAGTCCCAAATAGGCTGGGCTCCGGGATAGTGTGCGCCCGCCTGCTTGCTGGAAACTCCACAGTTCTCCGCGCATAGCCCGGGATCTCAACTTATTAAAAAGCTTTTTCATGGCAAGGGAAACCACTGTAAGACAGTGTAAGACAACCCACAGTGTGGGGAAAAAATTTTGCCACTGTTTCTCAGACAAAGAAATACTATCTAGGGGCCAGGGATTTAGCTCAGTGGCATAAGCACCTGCCTGGCAAGTGCAAGGTCATGAGTTCAATCTTTGGTACCACAAAAAAAAAAAAAAAGAATTACTATCTAGAATATGTAAAGAATGCAAAAAAAGGACCCCCCCCATTTAGAGACCCAATCCAAAAATAGGCATCTGAAATAAATAGACACATCTCAGATGAAGAATATATGAAAAAAAATATTTAACATAACTAGTCATCCAAGAGATGTAAATTAAAATGCTGAGATTCCATCTCTGGAAAGAATAGCCACTATCAAGAAATCAACCAATAACAAATGCTGGTGAGGTTAAGGAGGAAAAGAACCCTGCTTCACTATGGTGGGAGTATAGACTAGTGCAACCACTGTGGACATCATTGTGGAGATTCCTCAAAAAACTAAAACTAAGCTAGACATGGTGGCACACACCTGTAATCCCACCACTTGGGAGGCTCAGGCAGGAGGATCGTTGTGAGCTAGAGACCAGCCTGAAATGCATAGTGAGACTTTGTCTCAAAAAGTAAAAAAACAAAGCAAAACAAAACAAAACCTAGAGGTTCCAACCCAGCTATTCCCTTTTTTTGGTATCTTCCTGAAAGAATTAAAAGCATCATACCACTGTAGATATGCACACCTATGTTTATAGCAGCATAGTTTGTAATAGCTATATCTTGGAAACAGTCCAAATGCCCATCAACTAGTGAATGAATAAAGGATGCCCAGGGCCAGAGATTTAGCTTAGTAGTACAGTGCCTGCCTGGCAAACATAAGGTCCTGAGTTCAATTCCTGGTACTCCCCCCAAAAAATGCCCAAAATTACTTTTGGTATTGTGTGTCTCTTTTGGTTCCAAATGAATTTTAGAATTGTTTTCTCTAGTTCTGTGAGATATGCTATTAGAATTTTGATCGCAACTGCATTAAATCTGTATAACAATTTTTGAAGGATAGGCATTTCCACTATATTGGTTCTTCCTAGCCAAGAACAAAGGATATCTTTCCGTTTTCTTTTCTTTCCTTTTTTAAAAAAGAGAACAAAACAATAAAACAAAACAAAATAAAACAATGGGAATTATATTGGATTTCAAAAATAAGACAATAGAAAAACAACCATAGTTACTCTAATGCACATTTTTATCCTCTAAATAGATGCTCAGACCCCAGATACAGGCATGCAAAGTCAATCAAACAGCACAACACTAAGTTGTTTCTTTCCTTCAGTTGCCATTGTCTCAGAAATTTCAGGTGTGTGGCTTCTAATTTTATCTATAACTATGTCTCCTGGACTTGTTCTGAGTGAGATACAGCCATGCAAAATTAATTAAACAATGGAAGTACTAAGTTGTCTCTTTATTTCAGTTGCTAACATTTCAGTGTGACCTCCTTGCCTCTAAGCTCACCGGGCTCACAGAGGGTAGGGGTGGGAGGAGTAGCTTCCCTTTCTTCAGGACTGTGGCAGTGGGCTCACCTGGAAGGGTGAATTGTTTCTTTTTTTTTTTTATTATTAGTACCAGGGGTCGAACTCATGACCACATGCTTGCAAGGCAGGCACTTAGACTCGCTGAGCTAAATCCCCATCCCCCAAATTGTTTCTTTCTAATGGATTCACCATTACATTTCTAAAGTTCTGAAATGTCCAACAGACCATGGCCCCTGCTGAGCCCCCTGGGTTCCTCAGCCATCAGGGAACATCAATGAGCAGCCACCCCTCACCTCTGCACCACTCTGGGACTCTAGGATCTGAGAAACCCAGGTATCTAGCCCAATTTTCTGCACTGCAGGATGGGCACCCAATGCCAGAAACACCTGGGACTCAGCAACTGGCTGATTCAGAGGAACATAGGAAACTGTCAAGATGAAGGAGTAAGGTGCAATCTTAGATCTCAAATCTGAGAATAAGTGCAGAAGACCAAGACACAAAAAAAATTAGAAGTCACACTCTGAAATTGTCCTCATCCCTTTTATACAAGGCCACTAGGACATTTTTGAGCCAATCTTGTATGTGCTTGGGAAATTCAGTCAGCTGAGAGTCTAGGCAGTGGGGGAAAATGGATTTGCAAGGACTGATGTAGTCCAAGAAGAAGTTGTGGCCTTTCTTGGTGCCCTCCAGGGTGCACTCTGTAGCAAAGAAGTGGCAGGAGGAGTCAATGGTCTTGTTATTACTGCCTACCTCCTCAAGCTCACCAATAGAGGTTAGGCAGGTGATAGGGTCCTGGCACATGCACATTGGTATATCAGTCTCACCTAGGTTGCCCACTGTGCCATGTTTGCAGTGCTGGTTCTAGCAGACATTTTCAGCCACCTCCTCTATGATTTCCTTAGCACCTTCCTCAATCAAATTCTTCAGCTAGACAGGATTGGTTCCCAGGACTGGCTTTCTTGGCCACAGTTTCACCTACCACCTCTTGTCTCATCTGGCAGGATTTTCTACTGCTGAGGGTTAGCCAAAGCCCTCCTGATCAGGTAAAAGAAAAAGAAGAACCAGGCCCTCATGGTGCTGGGAACTCCCAGTGACAGGCAGGCAGCAGGCAGAGCACACTCTGATCAGTTTAGAGGTCAGCAGGAATATTCTTCTCTGTTAAATCCTGGTAGTGATTTCCAAGGTGATGATCAGGGTCTCATCTGACATAATAAAGCATATCAGTGCTTTATAGAGCAAATTAAAAAGAAGGCAAGAGTACAGTGACTTCACAGTCTCACCTACTCAGAAGGCTGAGGTGGGTCACTTGAGCCCAGGAGTTCAAGACCATCCTAGACAACATAGCAAGACCCTATGTCAAGCAAAATAAAAAAAGACAAAAAATTTAAAAACCATGCAGTGCGTTGCATATTCAGCAGTTGCCTTAAGATAAATAACTAGACTGCTGGTACAATCTCTGAATGATAACACTGTGTCAATTTAGTTTTGGATATATTGAGTTTGAGGTTTGTAGTAAACAGAATAATAGCCACAGATATTCATGTCCTGCTCCCTGGAATTTGTAAATGTCATTTTATATGGCAAAAGAGACTAGAGATGTAACCAAATCAAGAATCTTAAAATGAGGATTGTCCTAGATTATCCAAGTGGTCCCTCAATACAATTTCAAATATCCTTCACAAAAGAAGCAGGAAGAGATTCTTCCCCAGAGAAAGACCTTACTCCAAAAAGAAGGGTAGTAAGGATGAAAGTGAGTTTGGAATGTTGTAAAAAGGCCAGGGAATTCAGACAAGTCTTAAACTCTGAAAAGGGCAAGAAAACAGATTCTTGAGTTTCCACAAGGAACCAACTCTAATAATACTCGACATTAACTCAGAGAGATCTTGACTTCTAGTCTATAAAACTCTTAAAAGAATAAAGTTGTCTTCTTTTAAGCTACAAGTTTATGGGAATTTGTTATAGTAGCAAAAGAAAACTATTGTTTAAATGCTTTTAGGAGGACTGGAGATGTAGCTCACAGGTAAGAGTTCTTGCCTAGCCTGTGTGAACCCTGGGTTTGATCTCCAGCACTACAAGAAGAACAGAAGTAAAAAAGAGGAAGGAAAAGAAAAAGAGAAAAGGAAGGGGTAACATCTAAGAGATGTCAAGTGGAGATAAGGGATTGGAGGTGAGAAAAAAGGGTTGGGCTTGAGATATAAATTTGACCATCGTATATACGTAGATGGAAAGGAAGCTGTGGAAGAGTGTAAACTCATGTTACTACTTACTTCCTATGCATATTTTATCATGGTACTTAAGTTTTCTGACACATTATTAAGCACTTCCTGTGCTCTACAGCACATCGAGCAATTTACATGCATTCTCATACTCCTTATAAAGACTCTGCATGCTAAAAATCCATTTTTTATCTCCTACCTACAAAAACCCCTAAATTTAAGTTATCTAAAATTATGCAACACAAGTGGAATAAGATTAATCCCATTGCTTGTGCCTCAGCCCGCATAGTTCAGGTACTAGCAGCACTCACATGGTCTAAGAGTTTGTTAGACCTACCTACTGAATTTTAACAAGACCCTCCGGTTATCTGTACATCAAGTGTCAGTAGACTGCAGTCTGACTCTACAGTTCTACTCAGGCAGGTGCGAGAAAACTATTCAGCATCCTAGCAGCACATAACGATTCCCACCTGTGTATCTCCGTTCATGCCTTTCACTACTTTAATTTCATTCTCTATGTCAGGCACTTCCGCAATATTTTCAAGTACTTTTATGTACTGCAACCAACAGATAACAATGTCTCCTCCTTTAGCACTCTAAGCGTCTCTAGGATAAGACAGTGTTTTTTTTTTTCACCTAGTATTCAGACGATCTGCCACTATTTGAATGGAAGTATTAATTAGCAAATAAATCTGTCGACACAAAAGCCCGCGCAGGCGCAATAAGACCCATCCAACTAGGCTCCAGACTAGCGGCGGAAAGATGGTAAGCGGGAAGTTTAAATGTCTCAGCTGGACTCTACTCGAAAGAACGGCAGGGCGCATGCGCACATTTCGCCGGCCCGGCCTCAAAGATCCTTTCCCGCATGCGCGGGAGCCCGGATGTGGCTCAATTGGTTGAAAACGCGCGGCGGTGCAGCGATGGCGGCGCTCGGAACTGTAAAGGGTAGTGGCAATTGGTTTTTGGCTTTGGCGCTCGGAGTGACGCTCCTCAAATGCCTTCTCATTCCCACCTAGTAAGGATTGCACGTTCCTGTGCTGGGCGAGGAGACCCCGGGGGTGGGAAGGGCGGAAGAAGGGTGTGTCTACTCCCGAGTGTGAGAAGCAAAGGGAAGTTCAGGTAGCATGCTTTTACAGAGCTTCCCGCCGCTCGGATTGTTACTTGACCTGAGAATTAAAATATCACCCTGGCTAGCCAGGTGCTGATGTAGCGCTTTTTTACTTGGGGAACGTTACTTTTAAGGTTTCTGAGGCTTAGAATCTTATCCTTCATTTGCAAATTAAAAACACCTGCCATTTACTCAGGGGGTATTGTGAGCTGCATATCATACCAAATGGAGATACAGTGGAGAGCAAGATATTTCTGGATCTCGTGCTCTGTGGAGTTGATGGGAGCACACAAACAGGAAAGTTTCAAATTGTATGGAAGACCTATAAAGGAGTTGGATGCGGTAGCGCACCTGTGTAATCTCTGCGCTGCAAAATTGAGGCAGGAGACTCAGGAGTTTGAGCCCGGCCTGGGCAATTTAGGGATTTAGAGAGAGCCTGTCTGAAAATGAGAGATCTATGAAGGAAATAAGAATGACTACGTGGCAAAGTTTTACTCCTCTTGTAGAATGTGATGTTTGAGTCAAAATCCGAAGTGTAAAAAAGAATGAACTGCTGGTGTGGTGGCAGATGCCAGTAATCCCAGCACTTGGGAGGCTAAAACAGGAGGATCACTGTGATTTTGAGACTGTCCTAGGCCATGTAGAGAGTTCAAGGCCAGCCTGAACTGCATATTGATACCCTGTCTCAAAAAGAGGGGAAAAAAAAAAACCCACCAGAATAAGCAATATGAAAAGCAGCTCAGGCGTGGGAAAGTTAAGTGCAAAGGCCCTATGGTAAGAAAGAACTCGATAGCAGTCTAGGAAGAGAGGCCCGTGGATGAAGAGCAGTAAAGGAGGAAAACTGGCACAGGGTAAGTGGGCAGATCACACAGAGTTATAAAAACTATTTAGACTGTTGTGTGAAAAAGGGTTGCAGGACTGAGAATGAAAGTGTGGGAACAAGGAACTACCACGAAATGATGCCGGTTCTGCCTTCCCCTCATCATTCGTGACTCTTGTTTTTAATTTTACCCTCATTCTTTTTCTCCATTCTCTCCAGACCCTCCTTCCTAGCTCACAGTTTGCTTTATGGCACTCCCATTCAGGCTCTTAATGATCTCTTGGGTGTGAGAGAGCCACTATGTATAGAATATATGTCCAAGCAGATTCTAAATATATAAACATTGCAATATAAAGATTCAGTAAATAATATGCAGACTTGGAAAAAGACCCACTTGAAAAAGTGGGTATTGGTCAACAGAAAGCATAGCTAAAAAGCAGGAAGCATCTTTCTGTTTCCACATAAACTGGAAAAAACGTTCTAAATGTAAGAAACTCATACATCACAATAAATGGAAATTTTTTGTTTCTTTGAAAAATATAGGTCTGTATGAGATACTGTTTCTTACTTTAGTTGCTGCAGCCTAGAAATGTAGTCTCAGGGTTATTAAAATTCTGCCTTTGGTCTAGAATTAAGAACATATTTTCCTAAGATAGGTTCCTAATTCAGCTCTCCCTTTCACTCTAGCTGTCATGTTCAGTCAAAGTTCATGCTTCATGGCTTTACATTGAAACCCGATGTTTCAGACAATGAAGGACCACACATCAGTAGTGCTGTAAGGCTATATTACCTAGTGATGTCATAACTTTCCTAGAGGTACAAGTTTGCTCTTTGATACAGACAAATTGCTCAAGGATGCATTTCTTGGAAAGTGTCTTGTCATTAAGCTATTTGGCATTGAGGTTTTGTTGTTGTTGTTTTGTTTTGAGACAGGGTCTAGCTTTGAACTCTATATGTATTATAGCCCAGACTGGCCTTGAACTTCTTGGCAGTCTGAGTCCTCTTGCCTCAGACTCACAAGTGCTGGGATTATAGGTGTGCATGGACACACTCAGCTTTCTGGTTTTGATTTTTTCAAAAACTTTCAACAAGGTAAAATTATTATTTTTTAAATTCTTGCCTTATTCAGCAATTACAAAAAGAACTGGCGGTACTACAAGGTTGAAGTTCTTTCTCTTTGATGTAGATTTTTGTTATGCCATTATGAATTTTTTTGTTTGGTTGACTTTTTGAGAGGGGGGGGTCTTACAATGTAGTTTAAACTAATCTTGAGTGAACTGTTGCCCAGACTGGCCTCAGACGAGTGGTGATTCTCCTGCTGAGATTGCAAGCTATCACAAACTTAACAGTTTCCAACAAGAAATTAAAAAAAAAAAAAAAAATAACAACCTTCTCCCTAAAACACTGAAGGAAATCAATATATTACAGCTAAAAAATGTACTCAAACTCCCTCAAATCTTCTAAATGCTGTCTTCAAAAAAGTAAAAAAGTTACTATGAAATAGGAATGATCAGAGAATAGAGAATGTAAAAGTAGAAAATATAATTAAAATTTAAAAAAGATAAATTGAGCAAATCTTCCAGAGTACGAGAGAAAAGATAATTATCTTTTCAGAAAAACAAAACAAAGGATAGAGATAAATAAGTTTCTTGAAGACATTTGATTGCCTACCATAAAGAAAACATACTCTCATTGAAACATAAACCTCAAAATTTCAGAATGCTAAGAATAAAAACAAAGAACAGTTTCCAGAGATCAAGAGAAAAATAAAGGATTGCATGTACCAACTCCCCATCATGAGTGTAGTCGTGTACTACAAACGTATTAATAAAAGTTAAGGACTGTAAAAAAGAAAACATGAACATTAAAACTAGTGAGCAAGCTCTTAAAATTTTGAAAGTACTTTTCAGCCTAGACTCTGTATGCAGTGAAGTAAAATACTGTGTATTAAGCACAAGTCATTAATAGTACATCTCACTGAATTTTTGCAAAATGAATATGTCTGTAAATACCATCTGGATTAATATGCAGAGTTTCATCGGAAGCCTTTAATAGTTTCCTAGCTTTTTCTCTATCCCCATCTCCCCAAAGGATTAATCTTATGATTTTTACCTCTTTTTTTTGGGGGGGGGGATGGTTGTTGACTTTGTGGTTGTTTTTCTTTTTTTTTTTTTTTTTTTTTTTTTGTCTTTTTCTTTTTTTATCGGTACCGGGGATCGAACTCACGAACACCTGCTTGCAAGGCAGGTGCTTATGCCGCTGAGCTAAATCCCCAGCCCCTTCTTTTTTTTTTTAACTTGTGGAAACTGTTAAGTGACTTCACTTTGTGATGGCAAAGGCCTGTAATCTCAGTGGAGGATCACTACTAGTTTATATTTGGGGGGTTAATAAGGAATCATTCAGTGCATTCTCTTAGATTTGGTTTCTTTCAATTAAAATTGAATTTATTGTCACATAGTTATTTTTGTCACTATATAGCAGCAGTTCTCAAGCTTTTTTAGTCAGCGTTACTTAATTTCATAAAAATCACTGACACAGGGATAGCTGGGCAGTTAGCTCAGCAGCGTAAGTGCCTGCCTGACAAATGTGAGGTCATAAGTTCAACCCACGGTACAAAAAATAAAAATAAAAATCACTGACATGGTGTGGTGACTTAAGACGGGAGAATTGCAGAGAGCTCAAAGCCAGTCTGAACTATGGGGCAAGACCCTGTCTCAAACAAATAGAATCATTGAGGCTCTAAAAAGCTATGTGTTTGTGTAGGCTCCAGAATAGATATTTACCATTTTAGAAATTATAATAAGATAATTATATAAAGCCAGCAGTATATGAATATTTTTGTTATACTTGAAATGAAAATTGCTGAGTTATCAGTTCAGAGTGGTGACTGTTGAGAATTTCTAAGAAATTCTAGTGACATTGTCTTAGAAAGTTGGAAGTGTCTGTCTCTAGAACTCAGGAAAAAGACCAAAATAATATATAGCAATTCAGAAATTGTCATTATGTAGTTGATAGTGGCACCAAAAAGTATAAATAATATTGTTCAGAGCAGAGTGAATTGCATTAAAAAAAAAAAAAAGGACCAAGAACTGAACCTAGGGAGACAAAAATAAAGGAGTGTTCTTAATCTTCTATGGCTGAGGCTTAGGAGAAATATTCTCTAGAAAGATTTATGAAACATACTGGAAAGGGTAAAATGGGCTTTGTTGTATAGCATATTGGCTTTCGAGAGTGATATTATGAGCTGACCTTGTGTTAGGTGGTGGTATAGACACAGAAGAAGTACAGCATTGACAAAACTGTTCTGCTACAGATGGGAGATACTTGGACATACAGTATTTATATGTAGTGACTCTCTAGTGATTATCTATCCTGATGGGGAGTGACGACTTCTAACATTAGGGGTATATTGAGATGCTATTTATAGATAGTAGATAGGGAGAATTTGGAGACACGGAAAGGCAGGACAGGGACTGTTTTCCTCTTTCCTGTGGCAAGCCATTTCTCAAGATCCAGCTTCTTGTGCGTGAGGCTTTTTCCAGATAATACATTATGTTAGTTTGTTTGTGTGTGTGTGTGTGTGTGTGTGTGTGTGTGTGTGTAAGTTCTGTGTCAGCTTTTTAAATAGCTATGAGATCCAACAACTTTCCTGAAGGTCTGCCATTCTGAGATGTTTCAGGAATATGTAATGCCTATTTGTGTCTTTATAGGATAGGGAACCGCGATTATTTAGAGGGTTTCAAGCCATTCAAAAACATAACTGTGGAAATTAAAAATTGACAAAGGTTTTAAAATCTAATTTTGTTTACCTAATTGCCTTGAGTAGCCATTCTACAGATTTTGAAGTACACCGAAACTGGCTTGCTATCACTCACAGTTTGCCATTATCACAGTGGTATTATGAGGTAAGTTGTAATTTTCATGTTTTGTAGATCATATATATATATATATATATATATATGTATATATATATGTATATATATATATGTATATATATATGTGTATATATATATATATATATATATATACACACATACATATATATGTATAACACATAAATGTTATTCAGTAAAGCGGAAAGCAGATTTATAAGGCTGGGAGGATAGTAGCAATAGAGTGCTCATTAGTAAGTACAAGGCCCTAAGTTTGATTGTCAACACTAGAAATTCTGTATAGTTACAGATATAGTTAATCTTTATAGACAGACATGATGGCACATGCCTGTAATCTCAGTATGTAAGAGGCTGAGGCAGGGAGATCCCTGTGAATTTGAGGCCTGCTTTGGATACGTAGTTCAAGGTCAGCCTAAACCACATCGCAAGACCCTGTCTTCAAAGCAAAAATTAAATTAATCTTTATAAAAGTTGTATGCTAAGCCAGATAAAACATGATTGGAATGTCATCACTTTGAAGGCTGAAGCAGGATTGTGAATTCAAGGTCAGCCCAGGCTACAGTAACAAGTTATAGGGCAGCCTGGACTATATAGTGAGACCCTGTCTACAAAAAAGAGTTTTGTTCATTTCTCAATTCTGTTCTTCTGGTTTTCTTTGCACTACACAATTAATGCATTCATTGTAGGAAGTTGTTACATATACATAACACGTCTTAGCCCTTTGTGCTCTGTCTCCTTATTTCAAAATGAATTTGCCAGCCAGGCAGAGTGACTCACATCTATAACTCCAGTTTCTTGAGAAGCTTAAGGTAAGAAAATCACAAGTTTATGGCCACCCTGGGCTGCTTAGCAATGCCCTGTCTCAAAAATAAAATCGAAGCTGGGCGCGGTAGCTCACACCTGTAATCCCAGTACTCGGGAGGCTGAGGCAGGAGGATCATTGCGAGTTTGAGACCAGCCTAGGCTACAAAGTGAGCTCAAGGCCAGCCTGAACTGCATATCGAGACCCTGTCTGAAAAAGACAATAAAAAAATAAAATAAAATCGAAAAGGCTGGAGGTGTAGTTCAGTGGCAAGAGTGCTCATCTAGCATGTGTGTGGCCCTGGGCTCAGTCCCCAGTGTAACCAAAATTTCTCAAGCTTTAAATTCAGAATTATAATATCCACTATGCTCTTTGAAGGAATACTGGAGTGGGAAAGAAGAAAAATTGGATTCTAGGTAAGGCTTCCCACTAACTATATAGTCAGCGAGTACTTCATCTTTGCCAGGATTTAGCTTAGTGGTATAAGTGCCTGCCTGGCGAGTGCAAGGTCATGAGTTCAATCCCCAGTACCAAAAAGGAAAAAAAAAAGATAACTTCATCTTTGTAGGCTAAGGCCTCACTTGGAACATGAAGATTTAAAATGAATCACTTCCAAGCTCTTGGTCTATTCCTTACATTTTGTAATTTTATTAGGAAAGGAAAAATCAAATTTGATATATAGGTACCATATAATATATATAATATTCTCCCCTATTATTAAAAAAAACCCTAAATTACATGTGATACTTCATCAACAACAGACATTACCTCAGAAATCTTGATCAAAAGCAATTCTTTGCTGTCAGGAAATTTTTTTTTTTACCGGTACCAGTGATCGAACTCACGACTGCGTGCTTGCAAGACAGGCACTTATGCCATTGACCTAAATCCCCAACCCAGGAAAAAAATTTTTTTTTATTTAAGGAGAAAAAGAAAAAAACAGAAAAAGGGTACAAGTAATACAAAATTTAAAAAATAAACAGAAATCACTAATTAATAGATTACATATTCTCATCTTAGAAATAGTTGTTCGGGGCTTGGGATTTAGCTCAGTGGCATAAGCGCCTGCCTTGCAAGCAGGCAATCGTGAGTTTGCTCCCTGGTATCGATAAAAACGAAAAAGACAAAAAAAAAAAAAAAAAGAAATAGTTGTTCAAGTTACAAAATTGAAGCATATAAAGTGGACTTTCAAACAGTGAGAGTACAAACAGTTTTGTTCAATGATACAAAAAAACTCAGTAATATGGTTATCTATCTTATACACTTAAACATATTTGCAGTTAAAAGCTTTAGAGCACTTTCTTTTCTTTTCTTTTGTACAATGAGTTACACATTTTGGGTTTTATTACTCCCACAGTTCTTATTACTTTTTTTGAAGAGAGTAAAACCAAATGCGACATATCAGAACAGAGTCAGTCAAAACAAAATGATGGACATAATAGATAATGTAAAAACAAAACACAAAGTGATCAACAATGGTTACCATACTGCCTCTTGCTATTTTAAGAAGAATTGCCAGTTATAATAAAATTGAACAAAACAGTAAAGGATAAAACCAAAGCATTAGAGACATTACAGGACTTTAAAAGAAGATAATAATCAACCGGAATGGCGTAATAATGAATCTAATTGTCTTCACAGTTTTGTCTATACTTTTGAACTTGGTACTATCAAGCAAAGCAGAATAGGGGAAAATCAGTCAAAACAAGATGGTGAGGGCAATACAGGATTTCAAATCAAGTTAATAGGAAATCAAAGTAGGTTACTATAATGTATCCTGCTATTTTTATTTTTCCCTTAATTAAAAAGATGAAAAAAGTAAATAATTTTTTTTAAAAAGGGGGGGATTGACATAAAAGAGGGCATAACAACAGAACAGCGCAGGTCAAAACATAACCATTTAAGCAAAATAGTGTTTCACCACAAGATATCCTGACATAAAAATAGTTACCATAGTGTCTCTTTCCTTGAAATCTTTGAGTATAACTTTGTATACTGTAGCACCAAACATATCAAGACACTATAAAACGATTCAAGAGAATGACATTATTACAAGGTATTTAGAACCAATTAACAGAAAATGAACAATGGTTTCTGTATAATCTCCTTGTCTATAAAAGTTTTTACTTACATTGTCATATATAATAAAATCCAATAAGATACAACCTTTTAAGACCGATGGAGACAGAAGAATACAAGTTTGATGGGACTTCAAAATAAGATGATACTAAATCAGCACTATTATGATGTCTTGTTTTCTCCAAAATAGCTGTTCCTACCATCTGATCTTCTCTGCCTCATTTCTGTTAAGCTCTTTTTCTGTCGTTGGTTATCAGTTTGTCTTCTTCATTTCTCTCTCTGCTCCATTCATTGTGGCCTCCCTGCCACTATTTCTGGAATCTTGGTATTTTTCTTTTTTAGAATATCCTGCAGTATTCTCTGTAAAGTTGAATTGGTGGTTGCAAATTCCCTTAGTTCCACTTTATCCTGGAAGCACCTTGTTTTTCCATCAATTTCCAGGGACAGTTGTGCAGGATATACCAATCTTGGCTGGAGGTTACTATCTTTCAAAGCTTGAATTATTTCTCCCCGCGCTCTTCATGATTTGATGGTTTGTGCCGAGAAGTCTGCTGTGATTCTGATGGTTGTTCTCTTGTAAGTGATCTGTTTCTTGTCTCAGACGGCTTTTAATATTCTGTTCTTATATTGGATTTCTGGAATTTTGATTATTATATGCCTGGGTGTGGCTCTGTTTGGACTGTAGGTAGCTTGGGTCCTATATGCCTCATACATCTGAGCATCTTTACCATTTGCTAAATTAGGAAAATTCTCTTGGATTATTTCTGTGAATAGCTTTTGTAGTCCATTTGTTTGTGTCCCTACTTCTTCTTTTATGTTCTTAATTCTTAAGTTATAGATCCTCTTATCATCTTCTAGCCTTTGTATTGTTGCTGTTTGTTTTTTTGTTACTTTTAAGAAGTTTTTCATTTCATGCTCCCATATTACAAATCTGCCCTCCAGTTCAGATAATCTATCCTTAGTTTCTTTTCAAGCTGTTATGCCAGTTTTCGATAGAGTTTTTAGTTTCCTGGTAATCTTTTTGAACCTGCTTCACGTATTCTATGTTTTCTCTATTTTCTCCATCAAACAATTCTCCCCTTTTTTTCTGTTCTTCCATTCCACCATCTGTTTTTTCTTGGGCGGTGTTTAGCATTTCTCTAACTATTCTACTTATATCTTGCTTTAGGTGGTTAATAACTTCATTCCTGAACTTGTCTATGAGGCTCTGGAGATAGCGCTTTATGTCTGTTGGTGCCGTGTCTAATATTGCATCTTTCTCAGGATTGGGGGCCAACGACCCTTTCTTGTTGCTCCCTCTTCCCATATTTTTTGTTCCTTTTATACAAGAGAATATAGGAAGCCCAGTTTTTTTCTCTTTGTCTGTCACAGTTTGTTTGAATTGCGCTGGCTAGGTGTTCCCACCTACTGCAGTGTACTAGGGAGACACACACCTGGGCAGCCTCTGCTGGGCCCACCCCTCCAGGTAAACCTACCAAAGGCTTCACTGCTCAGGTGCACCTCCAGGCCCTGGGACCTGGTTTGGGCTAGCCTACTGGGTCTTAGCGGCATCACGCAGGCCAGGCAGTCCCCACCAATCCCGCTTGAGAGGGGAATTTGTGACTGAAGTCACTGTAATAACCTGTTCCAGCTAGTCTGCCCGGTCCCAGTATGTCCTTTGCTGAAGCCTCCTATGGAGTGGTCCCCGATCCGCTCACTCACCGCAGGTTGATGCAGGGCTCCCGGCCAGTCCCTCTCTCAACTCCATTCACTGCTTCCCATTCTCAGAGCTTTCACGCCTCTCTCCTTGTCACAGCAGCGGCTGCAGGAAATTCAAATCACAGCTTCCAGTGGTGCACGGTCCAGCTTCCGCGCTGAGACCTATGTTCCTGTTATATCACCGGGATTGCATTTCCAGTTGGTTTCTCTTAGTTTAGTTCGTTCCTGGGTCAGCAAAGTATATCTCCCCTTGCTTAGGATTTCTCGCCCGGCACCATTCCTGGATTTTAAGTGCAGTTTCTCAGAGAGCCTCCGAAGCTGCTGCTATCTATCTGCTATGTTCTCCTGGAAGTCAGGAAAATATTTTTTAAGGCAAGCTTTTTTTGAGTTGTTGCCTTTTGGGTAATGTTTTTTGTATTGTTTTAGTGAAGTTACAGTGGTCCTTTGTACTGAGAAAGCCTAAGAACAATTGTCCCAGATGACTAGGTTTATTTTCACAAAATACTACTGCAGCAGCAGTACAGTACAGTTTGCATGTATGGGTATCTTTTAGGAGGAGTATTATGTGGACTAGTGGTCAAGCACTTGGCCTGGATTTAACTTCAGCCTCTGCTACTTTTTTTTGTTTTTAGGACAGGGTCTCACTATATAGAACCTGGCCTCAAACTTGCAGTAATCCTTCTATCTCAGCTTCCAGAGTACTAGAATTCCAGGCATGCACCACAATGTCCAACTTAGCCTCTGCTACTTACACTGGGCAATCATGGGCAAAGCATTTGACCTCTCAAAGCCTTACTGTTCCCAATTATGAAATTATAATAATTATGAAAGGGAAGGACTGTAGTGTGTCTGAAGCATTTAGCACAGTGCTTGGAACAACAGCTCTCTGTAAACATTAATGAATGAATGACCCTCAGACTATGAGTGAAAAGGCTATCTTGTCATTTCCCTGTTTTCTCTCTCTTCCTTCTCAGTCTCCTCTAATTCTTTGACATCTACATACTCCTTAAAAAGCTGACTCTCTCTGGGGTTCTGTTTGTCATCCTTTTCTTCTTTACAGCTCTAATTCCTTTGAGAGGTTGTCTCCTAACTTTCAGTATTGCCTATTTGTACTCCTACAACCATATTTGTGGTTCTCTGTTTTAGATAGAAAATGTTTATAGCTGATTTTTGTAGTAGTATACTTTTTCTTCTTGCCAACAAGGAGCAGAAACCAAGAAGCAAACCTAAATGATTTGGCAGGAGAGTCACAGTAGGAGATAAGACTGGAGAGAGGTGTGCAGCCAGTCAGGCAGGGTCCTCGTGCCATCCCAGGTTAGCAGACACGTGAAGAGCTGATTGCTTGTGGAGCCCTCCTTTACTGTGACTTTACCCTTTAGATTGACCAACCAGTTGGGAAAGATGCTAGAAAGATCCTTAGTAAATATACCTTTGTTTTGAATCTTCCCCATGTACACATTGGATTTTCAATATGTGAAGAAAGCTCTGTTGTGTTAGCTTCTTGAGCTAATAGGTTTGGACTCAGATTGAGATCCAGATTTGAGTCTCATCACTAACTCTTAGCTAGTGACTACTAATTGCTACATGACTTTCCAACAGCTGTTTAGATAAGAAGATGAACCCAGCTTGGCATATGACCCATACCTGTAATTTAAGCACTCAGAAGCCTGAGGCAGGAAGAGTTTTAGGCTGGTCTAGACTACATAGCAAGACCCTGTATCAAAAACAAAAAAGATGGCCCCCAGGCAGAAACCATTGAGGTCAAGAGGACCATCTGGGCCTAGTTTGGGAAATTTTGCAAGGAATAAGTGTGGTATACAGAGAACTTTTAAGTGTGTACCACCTTTACTGTTCACAGAACACTTGTCCTCCTCAGTAGGACCCCAAACCTCTGATGCTTCCCATTACCCATTTTGAAATAAATAACTATGAGCCAGGCAAGGTGTCCCACACCTGCAATCCCAACAGTCTGGAAGGCTGAGGCAGGAGGATTGAAAGTTCAAGCCTAATCTGGGCAACATACCAGCTTTGTGTAACTGGTCTCAAAAACAGAAAAAGAGGAGAGGAGACTAGAAATTTAATTAATTTATGTCAGTAAAGCAGGATTGAAAAAACTTGTGTGGTAAGATAAATGTTTATTAAAGGATAGGTTGACCTCTGACATTTCAAATTGTGGCTGAAAATTGCAAATGTTAAGTAAGTCCAAACTGAAATAGAATTTCTTAGAATTACATGAACAGTGTTTCTAAATTTTTTTATTGCCCATATCCTATCAGGAAATGCTTTTTGACCATTTCTTATACAATATGTCTTATAAATTATAAAACACTGCTCCATTAATATAGGATAAAAATAGAAATCTTAAAAGGGTGACATTTAAAATTAGAATTTCTAATTTTTCTTTGCATAGTTCAGTGGCCTATTTTGTTTATAGTCCACTTTGGAGGTCTGATATTAGAGAAGAAAATTTTCATAAAATAGAACTTAATGGGGGGAAGGGGTAGCCTGAGTGCCCTGACAGAAAGTCTTCGGGTTTGCTTCAGGCCATCTGAGTCTGCTATACTCTATCCCTACAGGAGGAATGAACGAGCTAGGCCTTCTCCAAACCTAAAGTTTTCATTTGCTCATTCGTGACTGTTCACTCATTTAACTAATGGTCACTTAATAATTATTTAGGAGCCAGTCGTGGTGGCTCACACCTGTAATTCCAGCACTCGGGAGGCTGAGGTGGGAGGATCCTTGCGAGTTCGAGACTAGCCTGGGCTACAAAGTGAGCTCAAGGCCAGCCTGAGCTGCATAGCGAGACCCTGTCTCAAAAAAGGAAAAAAAAATAATTACTTTAGGATACAATGACAAAGGATAGTTTTTATTCTAAAGGATACCAGGACCTAGTGAAACAAAGGATAAGTAGCATTTTTATAACATTTTGTTGTCGTACATAAATAGATTTTATATGTATTACTTCATTTAATCTTCGTGTCTCATTTTAGGAGAAGGGAAATTGAGTCTCTTAGAAAGAACTCAGAGCCCAGCTAGTGAATCATTTGTTTTGCTGCAGTTCCCTTTTTCCTTTTAATACCTAGCTGAGTAGAATTGTGCCATAACCAACTTTATTATTTCTAAGTTTCAGATTAGTCAGGCATGGTGGCACACGTCTGTAATCCCACACTTAAAAGGTTGAGGCAGGAAGATTTCCATGAGTTTCAGGCCAGCCTAGGCTACATAGCAAGACCCTGTCTCAAAAAGCCAGATAAAGAAAAAAAGTTTCAGATTCGTTTCCTTTGAAATATGTTTGACTCTGTTTGACGAAACTGAAGATCACATGGAATAACTTGGAAGACAAACTTTAGTGTTCTGTTCATTCTTACATAGGAATTGATGTGTATATTTAAGGCTTTATTTTATACTTTTTTTTCTTTTTGTTGCCACCTTTGTTGTTTTGGTTTTGGTGTTTGTTTGTTTGTTTTTGAGGCAAGGTTCATTATGTAGTTCAGGCTCACCTTGAACTCACTGTGTAGCCCAGACTGGCCTTGATCTCACAGCAATTCTGCCTCAGCCTCCTGAGTGCTACATAGGACATTGTTTTAAATGCAGTGTCATTTCACTGACATTTTTAACAACCACAAAGTGAAAAAGATAAGTCTTTGTGCCTTCTTTATTCAGTTACTTAGGATATGTTTTATCTTCTGTTTTTATCACAGGCAACCTCAGAGTGGACCTTGGATTACCCACCTTTTTTTGCGTGGTTTGAATATGTCCTGTCTCATGTTGCCAAATATTTTGACCAAGAGATGCTTAATATCCATAATCTGAACTACTTCAACTCAAGGACTTTACTTTTCCAGAGATTTTCTGTCATCTTTACAGACCTTCTCTTTGTGTATGCTGTTCACGAGTAAGTTTGAAAAATGTCGTTTTGTGCAGAAGTGTTAAGGAAATACAGTGTGAAGGAGTCTTAACTCACTGCTGTGTTAACTGACTGAGAGGAAACTTCATTATTTACATATTATTATGTTTTTTTTTTTTTCCCAGTGCTGGAAATCAAACCCCAGGTCTTGCTCATGATAAGCACATGCTGCATCCCTGAGTTATACCATCTTGCATGTTTTACTCTTGAGAACTGAAATATGTCTGCCCTTTCAATTTTCAAAATCCTTATTCTTTGTTTCCAAGTGGCTGTTTCTAAATTTTAGTTTTATGAAATGAAGACTTTGTTTCAGATCAGCATAGCCGATAGACATGGAACAGGCCCAGAGGTCTTTGCCTCTGCTGCTATCTTTTTAAGAAACTAGAATGGCAGGGACTGTTTGTCAGGAACGGCAAATAAAATCTGCCCTAGTGTACTCCACAGTAGCATTGTGATTCGCTAACAAACATTAAGTTTCTTCTTCTTTCCCAATGTGTCACCATAGGTGCTGTAAATGCGTCAATGGAAAAAAAGCAAGTAAAGAACTTACAGAGAAGCCGAAGTTCATTCTGTCTGCGTTACTGCTGTGGAACTTTGGGTTGCTGATTGTGGACCGTATCCTTGATGTGTTCTGTATACTATTTCTTTTCCTGGATAGCCTGAATCAAGATGGATTCTTTCTGTAATGATGACAATTAAATGTGAGATGCTTTTGGAAATGGGTATGGAGTAAGTTAGTGAGCTCCCAAAACCACTTTCTCCCCAGCTTATTTGGATTCTGATTATTAGAACACTTTGACCCCTAAAAAGTTACTGATGGAATATGAGAACCAGGTAAACCACCAGTAAAACCATTTTCTATTGAGATTTCTTAACTGTCTTTAGTCTAATACATATATTAAATGGTTTTATTAACACATTCTAAATTTTTAGAATAGGAAAGGGCTTATCATTCTGTTACATATGGGAAACAACCTGACTTTTGTACTTTTCTAGGAAAACAAATACTAGACAGTTTTCTGGTTTGTTTCTTTTTTAAGGTACCAGGAACTGGACTCAGGAACTCACACTTCCCATGCAAGTGTTATGCCACTGAGTTAAATCCCTGGCCCCTCTGGTTCTTTTTTTTTTTTTTAACTTTTTATCGGTACCAGGGATCAAACTCACAACTGCCTGCTTTCAGGGCAGGTGCTTATGCCGCTGAGCTAAATCCCCAGCCCGCCCCTCTGGTTCTTAAACATAAATTTTAGTCAGAAATTTTTCCAGGATAAGTCTGCTTTAAGAAAACTAGGCTGTGAGGCTGATACGCTCCTGTGATTCAGTACTCTGGGAGGCCAAGGCAAGAGGATCACAAGTTTGAGACCAGCCAGGGATGCCAGGGATGTAGCTCAGTACAGAGTATCCCGGGCAATCCCCAGTACCAGAACAAAACAAAGCAAACACATTTATGAGGAGTCCAAACTCGTAATATTTTTCTCTTTACCTATTAAGAAAGCATTTGCAAACTGTCTCAAGAAAATGTTTAAAAAGAGCTGAGGTGCCAGGTATGCTAGTGCACAACCGTAATCCAGCGCTCGGGAGGCTGAGGCAGGAGAATTGCTGCAAGTTGGATGCCAGCCTGGGCTACATGTGATCTCGAGGCCATCCTGAACAACACACAGAAACCCTGTTTTAAACAAGCAAACAAATAAATAGTAAATAACTAAATAAAATATTTTTAAAAAGGCAAGCTGAGAATGGAGACTCCTTTCCTGCCCCTGGTGGCCTCTGGTTGAGCTCTCGGTGTGCTTCCTGCCCAATGCTGGTGAGGGGAGAACACTGATCCAGGGCCATGAATGGATGACAAATCCACTATTGAACCATCAGGAGCACAGTCTGCATCCGAGAGAGAGCTTTGAGAAGCAACCACAGGCCTCCTTCCACCCCATTTGCTATGATTCTAAGCTAACATCTTACAGACATTTCCTGTGAAGGAAAGCTTCAGGTTGACAAAGGAGATGGAGTCGCCTGGGTCCACACCACCAATGACAGCATTCAAGGGGAATAGACAACCTTATCAGAAAGACTGTGTGCTTATTATTAATCATGACACTGGTGATTATGTTTTTGGAAGCATCATTCATGTGAAGAAAATGAGTTGAGAGCAGCAAAATCCAGGTCCCAATGGAGGAGCAGCCCACTCATCCCCCACAGCTGTCACAGCCACCACCAATGCCATTGAGAGCTCCACGAAAGCCTCCAGTTGGACCCAAAACTTCTCCCTTGAAGGACATCCCCTCATCTGATTCTTAGCTGGTGGCATCAAAAGAGAGCTAAGGGCTGAAGCTGACGTTACTGAGCAGGTGAGCAGCAGTGTTGAGAGCAGTTCCCCAGGCTCTTGACAGCTCCTCAGGAAGCAGTGACGACAGCTCCCACAGTGAATGAGGATGGTGGCCCAGGTCTCCCCACAGGTGTCACACAGCAGCCCTACACAGCAGGTCTGCATTACCAGTGGAACCAGCCAGCCATAAGGAAGCAACCAGCTATGAGCAGCCTCAAAAATGACCTGCAGTCAGGTGTGGTGGTACATGCATATGGCTGGTTTGTGACCAGTCTTCTGTTCCCAGTCTGTGTTCCTGCCCTTGAATTCCATTTATCAGAATCAAAGATTTTTATACTCAGAACTTTTAGTGTACATTAGCATATTTACTGGACTTAAAAAGACAAAAGCACTAGATACTTCCAGCTAGAATTCAGATCCCAATAGTTTCTGAATGATTTAGAGAGCACATTAAGCCAGTAGCCACGATGTTAATACATGTGACTCAGTTAAGTTGAGGCTTGCTTTTAGTTCCATGTGGATCCATCCTAGGTGTTCTTCATTCACTGGTTTTTAGCAGGGTGGGACTAGGGTAGGGATGTGAGTTCGATTCCCAGTACTCCCGCAATAAAACTCTTGTTCCTAAAGTTCGTTTTGCAGAATTATGAAATAGACATGCATGTTTACATTTATGTAGAATATTTGTGGTATAGTTTTTTGTTTATTCTCTTAAAAGATCACTATATTAATATAGAAATGAAGGTCAGTAATATAAAAAAACAAAAGAGCTGAGAATGGAGCTCAGTGCAAAGGTCCTGTGTTAAAATTAATTTGCAACTTCTGTACTTAGTTAGGTAGTCCAGTTCATTCTGAATTTAGTTTGTTCAATTGTCTTTCCTTGACATATGTCCAGATATTCATTTTCAGTACAATGGATTTTTATCTGGATTAATGCTACTCTCCATTGCACGATTATTTCAGGTAAACACGCAAGTACTTAATTAACCCCTCCCCCTTAGTATAGTTTTTTGCTTGTAAAGACTATATATAATGGGTGATAGGTAAATTTATGTGACCCACTGTTTACTTTTCAAGAGTTTTAGAAATTTTATTCAATATTTTCATAAATTCCAGTGATCTTTTTTGACAAAATTTTTCATTATTTCACAGATGAAAAGAGTATACTTTAGAAATTTAGAGTGTGATAGACCCGAATTAAACTTGTATTTCTGTGTTTGGTTGAGATAATTTCTTTAGGAACAGACTCTCCAGCAGTTTTACAATTTAATAATTAGAATAACTTTTGTTTTAGCAAAAGAAGCTTATAGAATAATGTAATGAAAAATATGGGATTTGAAATCAAATGGAGTTGAAATCCTAACACCAATGACCTATGTGACTCAGAAAAAGTTACAAAAATGCACTGGTCTCTTCAGATTAGTTACATATACTGTAATGTCTTACTAGTAGACCTTTCAAACATGCTGTCTCAGTATTATCCTACTTTTATTTTTTATTTTTTTGAGACAAGGTCTTGCTATGTATACCAGGCTGGCCTCAAACTCTTAGTGATCCTCCTGCCCTGGCCTCCTGAGTGCTGGGACTGTCCTTTTAAAAAAGAAGAAATCAGGAATTCAGACTTATGATCAATTCTTGTATACCATCATTCAGAATCTCTGGGATTGGGGTTTGGGAATCTCCCAGATAATTTTGAGAACTCTTGACTGAATGCAAGTCATTAAACTATCTTAGTTTTCTCATGAAAACTAAACATGAAATTTTTATTTACTTTTTTTTATAATGTGTTATATATCACAGAGACTTTGGCAAGATCAGATAATCTAATTTAATCAACTATAGAGGCTGAAGGTATACTCAATGGTACAGCACTTGGCCTAGCGTGTATGAGAACCTGAGTTCAACCCCCAATACTGCAAGTAAACAAGTAAATTAAAAAATGAAATTCTTTGTCCATTATAAATATTTAGACAAAATTTCCTCTTTTAACTGCAAAAAACCATATAGTACATAGAGCATTATTAGTATTTACTGAATGATTGTTGAATGGTTATTGAATACATAAATTAAAATTTTACGTAGAATCCATCTAGACTTTATCTGGATCTTAAATAAATTACAGAATTGGTGAAGAGAGATCTGGAAGCAACTCAATTTGTTTCCTTTTCTTTTTTTTTTTTTTTTTGTATTTTTCCTTTTTATCGGTACCAGGGATTGAACTCACGACCGCCTGCTTGCAAGGCAGGTGCTTATGCTGCTGAGCTAAATCCCCAGCCCTGTTTCCTTTTCTTATTCCTAAATCGGCCTATTCTGGATGACACCCGATGAGACAATGAGAAAAGAAACTTGGCCTTTTGTGGTCCCTTTGGCAGTTTCCCTTGCGGAACGCCAGGACCATTACCACATTTGACCCTTCCAAACTTCCTGTGCAGTAGGTAGAATTCACTTCAGTGATAGTTAACTCAGGCGTTCTGGTTTTGTGTTTCTTAATCAGAAGACCTTTACTTCTCCTAGGTAGTTTGTTAGGATCAAGTGCTATACCCAATGCCATTATGAAATAGTTACTTGATGTGTAAGATAAGGTTTACCCAGGTGCAGTAGTACGTCCATATAGTCCCAGCTCCCTCGTGAGAACAGTATGTTGCCACAGATTATACAGCTTTTATTTTATGAGGCTTAGTACTTAATAAATATTTGTTGAAATAACAGATTTGTGAATCCACCGGACTCACTATAAGAAGCTATTTAGAATCACTTGTCTGTGTTCTTTTTATATTGCCTGTAGAATATATATTTACCATTCTTCCTTTCTCTTTAGTGCTGGTGTTTTTGCAGTCCTGGGGATTAAATCCAGGGAACTCACACTGAGCTACATCCCCAACCCTTTTTATTGTTTTGTTTTGTTTTTTTTTATTTTGAGACAAGGTCTTGCTAAGTGACTAACTTGACCTCAGCCTCCCAGAGTACTGGGATTACAGGAGTGTACCACTGTACCCAATTTACCTTAAATGTTTAAATCTTTTTATTATAAGCCAAGTGTAGTGATGCATCTCTGTAGTCCCAGCTACTCAGGAGACTGAAGGAAAGGACTGTTTGAGTTTAAGAGATCAAGGCTAAGGGCTGGGGATATAGCTCAGCGGCATAAGCGCCTGACTGGCAAGTGCAAGATCGTTTGATTCCCAGTATTCCCCACACCAAAAAAAAAAAAGTTCAAGGTTAACCTAGATAGAATAAAAAAGCACCATCTTCAAGGGGAGAAAAATTGTCTTTCTACTTTCTAATTAGAATGTTCAAGAATAAATTTAACTTTACTGAGAAATTGCAGTGGCCAGGAATATAGCTCAGTAGGGCCTGCCTGGCAAGTGCAAGTGTGTGAATTTGATCCCCAGTATTCACCACCCCCCAAAATGCAGTTTAGATTTCCTATACACCTCTTACCCACTTTCCCCTAATGTTACATCATACACAACTATTCATCAAGACTAAAAAACCAGTATTAGTTCATTTAAATTTCACTGATTTTTCCAAGAAGTATATTTTCTGTTTCAGAATATTATACCATTGCTTTTTTTTTTTTTTTTTTTTTTTTGTACCAGGGATTGAACTCACAACCTTGCGTTTTCCAAGCAGGCACTTACGCCCCTGAGCTAAACCCCCGGCTATACTATTGCATTTCATTCATCCTGAAATTTAACACATTCCCACTAGCTTGAGCCACCGGTGTTACCCATCAGGTGGCTTGTACCACAGGTAGTACAAATGGATCTAATCACTTTTATCGCTTTTTACTAATACAATTCATAAAAACCTGTCCGACGGACAGTCATGCATGTACCAGTGGTAGTTCAAGCTACCCAGCAGTAAAATATAAATCATGGTCCTATTGTTAAGGTATTAAAGTAACATCTTTTCTCTTTTCAATGTCCTAGAAAAGGCATATGGAAGGAGCATTTCTCTTTGCTATTCTCCTGCATTTCAAACATATCTACCTGTATGTTGCACCAGCCTATGGTATATATCTGCTACGATCTTACTGTTTCACTGCAAGCAAACCAGGCAAGTTTTGTGATAGCAATTTTTTTGTTGTTGTTTCTTAATCATATTTGACTCAGTGGCTTACTTGATAAGATTAAGCAGTTATTAACCCTATAATAAGTCCTTTACTCATGCTGCTTTTTCTGCTCTTGTCACATTGTAAGGACAAATTAATGTAGTATTGGAGGGCACTGTCAGGAATCACTTCTCCATGCTTCTGGTTAATGATGTTTCTCTCCTTAGATGGCTCTGTCCGATGGAACAGTTTCAGTTTTACTCGTCTTATTTCCCTGGGACTGATTGTTTTCCTAGTTTCTGCACTCTCATTAGGTCCTTTCCTAGCTATGGTAAGTTTGGGTTTTTTTTTTTAACTTTTTTAAACAAAGTAATACATGATTTTTAAAGATAAAGATAAAAAGATTATTTAAAACAAGAATGTATGAAATAAATAAAAGCTGCTCCTTCCTTATGCCTACCCAGTATGACTGTATGACTCTTAATAGTCTTTCACTTTTGTGCATACTCATATATGAATATGAATCTGTTTACTGTATATTACACACAGAGACACACAGAATTGATCCTTATTTGTAGTTTATGTATTTCCAAATTCACCTACTTGCTAAAATTTAATTAAAATCCACAAAATTAGTACTTTTGCAGTTTTTCATGGATAACAAACTTCCCAAAGGGCCCAGAACACAATAGGTATTCAAGTATTTTTTCCTCTTTTTCTCCCCAAAATCAGTTTTAATTTCTACTAAAACCGAAAAGCACTACGTCTTTATAATCTCCCTGCTTTCACTTTCACCCAGTAGACTTGGACAAGCCACATTCGGTACTCTCCTGTGCACCTCACAAATTCTCCCATTAGCTATATTTGTGTGTAGTAGTGTGGATTGGTATTCACAATGTTTTTATATGGCCTTTCCCGTTACTCAGTTGAAATGATTAGACAAAAAGAGGTGTAAGAACTGCTGGAGATCATATAACCATTTCCTTAAAGGAAAAAAGATTGGAGCCCAAACCTTCTAACTTTCTACACACTATACTGTAGACTGTTTTCCAGTCTGTTTTTGAGTTGGAAAAGACTGATGACTGTTTAATTGGTTTCATTTCTGTTTTCAACAGAACCAGCTGCCTCAAGTCTTTTCCCGGCTCTTTCCTTTCAAGAGGGGCCTCTGCCATGCATACTGGGCTCCAAACTTCTGGGCTTTGTACAATGCTGCGGACAAACTACTATGTACCATCGGTATAGTAGCAAGCCTTTTCACTTCCACTCTGAATATTGAAAGGCCTAGTCACACTGAAAAATGAAAAAGCCTCCTTGTGTTTTGAATGTGGCCAATTGTTTGCTTGGAGTCCTGCATTTCGGTTTTCAGGATAAACAGGGGTAGCAATTCTTGGGCCTAAGCTTTTAGCATAGTAAATAGACTGCATCACTTACAAAAGCTCCTTGTGGCCGCAAGATCATGGGTACTTTTCTCTGGGGAAAAAAGTAAAGTACTTACAAAATTTTTCTCTTTTTTTTAACTTTGTTGTTGTTCTTCTTTTGTTGAGACAAGGTTTTGCTCTGTAGTCCAGACTGCCCTTGAACTCACGGCAGTCCTTCCTCAGCCTCCTGAGTGCTAGAATGACAGGTGTGAGCCACTAAAGGTAATTTTTGCCTTAAATGAAACATTATTCAGCAGAGTTAGTACTTTTAAACGTAAATATATGAAAAAGCAAAATTTAAAGTGTAAGTTGTAGCTTTGTGTATTAAGCCAGTAAGGAAAATGATACCCATACATTTCAACTGAAATGTAAAAAAATAAAAAGCCTAGGATTTTTTTTTTTTTTTGAGATAGTATCTGGCTATATAGTCCAGACTGGCCTTGAACTCATGGTGATCCTCCTGCTTCACCCTCTCCAGTGCTAGAATTACAAGTGTGTGCCACCATGCCCAGCCAGGCGATCCTCATTAATTTGCCCAACCTATTCTTGAATTAATGAGCTCTGATGATCTTCTTGCCTCAGCCTCCCAACTGTTGTGACTGTAGGTGTAGGCCGCTGTACCCAGCTTAGGGTGTGTGGTTTGTTATTGCTGCTATTTTTTTTTAAAACAATAAAACAAAACAAAACAGAATAAAGCAGAGCAGAGCAAAACAATGCAAATATCACAGGATTTCAGAGCAAGACAACAGGAAATCAACAGTGGCTACCATAATGTCTCTTTGGTTTCTTTGAAATAGAAATTACTGTGCTCGGAAAAAAGAAATCGAAGAGGATCTCAGAAAATAGAAAGGCATTCTTTGTTCATGAATAGGAAGACCAAACATTGTGAAAATGATCTAAAAGAGACATTATGGTAGCCATTATTGATTTCCTGTTGTTGGGTTTTGAAGGCCCATAAGGCTCTCATTTCATTTTGATTGCTTTTATATTATTTTGTTTTGTATTAACTTACTGTATGTGAAGATATGGACAACTAATAGTTTTATTTCAAGAACTAATAGAATTAGTAGTACTACCACCTTAGTAACCGTAAGTGTGTATACACAAATTTATATCTTTTTTTTCTCTTCCTTCTTTTCTCCTTTTCCCTATCTGAGTTATTTTTTCCTCTTTGAGCAGTTTCTTATTCTTTCACAATATTTATGAAAGTTTTGTATCTTATTTACTCCTTCAGTTTTTTACACTAGGGAGACAATACAGTATTTACACACATGCATTTGATTTATTTCACTTATGAGTATGGTCTCAAGTTGCATCCAGTTTATTTATAAAAGCCTTCTTTTTAGCTGAGTAAAAATACCATATCTTTTTTACCCTTAGGTTGTTTCCAAGATTTAGCTGTTCCAAATTGAGTGGTATGTTGTTTTCAGTTCTTCTGGGAATATGCCCAAAAGTGGAATAACTGGGTCAAATGGGACTTCCAATCCCCGCTTTTTGAGGAACTTCCAGACTGATTTCCACAGTGGTTGTACTAGTCTATACTCCCACCAACAATACAAAAGAGTTCATTTTTCTCCATAGCCTCTCTAGCACTTGTTATTGGTGGTTTTCTTGATCCTGGCTATTCTTTATGAAGTGAGATGGAATCTCAGTGTTGTTTTAATTTGCATTTCTCTACTGACCAATAATGCTGACCATTTTTTCATGTATTTCTTTGCCATTTGTATTTCTTCATCTGAGAAGTATGTATTCATCTCAGATGCCCATTTTTGGATTGGGTCTTTGGATTTGGGGGGCCTGATTCTTTTTAATTCTTTATATATTCTTGATAAAAGTTCTTGTCTGAGAGACAGTTGACTAAGATTTTTTTCCCAGTTTGTGGGTTTTCTTTTCACTTTGTATAACAAGTTTGGGAAAATGGCCACTTTTACAATGTTTGGTCTTTCTATCCATGAACAAAGAATGCCTTTCTATTTTCTGAGATCCTCTTGGATTTCTTTTTTCAGAGCACTGTAATTTTTCACTAAATAGATCTTTTACTTCCTTGGTTAGATTGATTCCTAAATATTTCATTTTTTTGGATGCTATTCTGAAGGGTCTGGTTTCTCTTATTTTTGTCTCAATGAAGTTGCTGTTTGTGTATAGGGATGCTATTGATTTTTGAGTGTTGACTTTGTATTCAGCTACATTACTGAATTTGGTTATTACATCTAGAAGTCTTTCAATGGAGTTTTGGAAGTCTTCTATGTAGAGTACCATGTTATCTTCAAATAATGATAATTTAACTTTTTCTATTTTTCCTTACTCCTTTTATTTCTCTCTCTTAATTGCTCTGAGTAATATTTCCAGTACTGTATTGAGAAGGAGTGGTGATAGTGGACAGCCTTATCTTGTTCCTGATTTTAGAGTAAAAGCTTTCATTTTTTGGCCATTTAATACGGTGCTTGCTGTTATTTTGTCATAGATGACTTTTATCAGATTGAGGTAAAGACCATCTATTTCAATTTTCCATAGGATTCTTATCATGAATGAGTGTTAGGCTTTATCAAAAGCTTTTTCTACGCTATTGAAATGATCATGTGATTCTTGTCCTTGGTTTTATTGATATGATGTATTGTGCTTACTGCTTTGCATATGTTGAACCATCCCTGCATTCCTGGGATGAGTCTCATTTGGTTGTGGTGTATAATCTTCTTGATGACTTGCTGCACTCTGTTTGCCAGTATTTTATTGAGGATTTTTACATCTATGTTCATTAGGGAGATTGGCCTATAGTTCTCTTTTTTGGTTGGGTCTTTCTCTGATTTTGGTAGTAAGATAATACTTGCTTCCAGGAACAAGTTAGGGAGAATTGCTTCCCTTTCAATTTCATTGAAGAATTTGAGGCATGTTAGCATTGAGTCTTCCTTGAATTTCTTGTAAAATTCAGCTGTGAATCCATCAGGACCTGGGCTTTTCTTTGTTGTTAAGGTTCTAATTATATTTTCAATTTTATTAACTGAAATTGGGTGATTCAGCAGTTTTACATCTTCTTGATCCAGCTTTGATGATTCACATGTTTCTAAGAATCTGTCCATTTCTTCTGTGTTATCAAACCTATAGGAGTAAAGGTTTTCAAAGCAGGTATTGATGATCTTCTGTATTTCCAATGGTTCTATAATGATTTTGCCCTTTTTGTTCCTTAGTGCATGAATTTGAGTTTTTTCTTTCCTTTTTAAAATAAGGTTGGCTAGGGGCTTATTAGTTTTATTTATTCTTTCAGAGAACCAACTCTTTGATTCATTAGTTCCTTATATTGTTCTCTTAGTCTCTATTGCATTGATTTCTGCTCTGATCTTTGTAGTTTCCTCTCTTTTGGCTTTGGGGTTGAATTGCTCTTCTTTTTCTAGATGTTTGAGGTATAATATCAGGTTATTTGTGTTTGTCCTGTTTTCCTGATGTGGAAATTCACCACAATGAATTTCCCTTGAGGTCTGCTTACATTGCATCCCACAAGTTCCAGTAAGTTGTATTTATATTTATATTTACATTTACATTTACTTGTAGATATTTTTTAATTTCTTCTTTAAATTTTCCTGTGACCCATTGATTGTTCAGGAGTATATTATTTAATTTCCATGTGTTTATGGAGTTTCTACAATTTCTTTTGTCATTAATTTCTAGTTTTAGAGCACTATGATCAGATAATATGCATAGAATAATTTCAATTCCTTTGCATTTACTTAAGCATGTTTTATGGGCTAGTATATGGTCTATTTTAGAGAATGTCCCATATGAAGCTGAGAAGAATGTATATTTTGTTGTTGGGTAGAACACTCTGTACATGTCTATTAAGTCCATTTGTTTACAAGTTTGATTCAGGTCTTTTATTTGTTTGCTGATTTTCTGCCTTGTTGATCTGTCTCTTTGTGTCAATGGTGTGTTAAAGGTCTCCTGTTATAATTGTGTTATTACTTATTTGATTTTTCATGTCTATTAATATTTGTTTTATGTAGCTGGGTGCTCCCATATTTGATGCATATATATTTAAGATTGTTTTTTTTTTTTTTTTGTCTTTTTCCTTTTTACCGGTACTGGGGATCGAACTCACGACTGCCTGCTTGCAAGGCAGGCGCTTATGCCGCTGAGCTAAATCCCCAGCCCCCTATATTTAAGATTGTTATCTGTTTAAGTTTTCCCCTAACCAGTATGTGATCATTTTTGGTTTGAAGTTCACACTGTCTGCAAACCAAATAGCTACCCCTGCTTTTTGGGGGTTCCTGTTGCATAAAGTACTGTTTTCCATCCTTTGATTTTCAGTCTATGAATTTCCTTTTGAATTAGACAGGTTTCTTGATCCATTCTGCCAGTCTGTTTCTTTTAATGGGTGAATTGAGGCTATTTACATTAGTGGTTATAAATGATATATATTGGCTTATTTTTGTCATGTTATCTTTCTGCTGTTGGTTCTTTACCTTTCCCCTCTAATTGTTTGTGCTTCTTGGTGGTTTCTTCCTGCTGGTGTTCTTGAAGTTATGGTTATTTTATATCTATCTAGAATATCTTGCAGTATTCTTTATAGGGTTGCTTTGGTGGTCATAACGTTCCTCAGCTGTTCTTTATTATGGAAGTATCTTATTTCCTGCTTTAGCCTGCTAATTGCTGGAATTATAGGCATGTACCACCACACCCTGCTTTAGGATATACTTTTTATGTTTGGGTTGTAATGAAAAATAGTGTATATCTTGATATTGGTCTAGTAAAAGTAACTCACTGTGAAACAGCTCACAGCTCTCATTTGTGAATCCAGGATTGTTTAGTGGGAAAAAGCAAGACAAGAACAGTAGTCAGGAAACTTTTTCTGTTAACAGGGCAGCTACTAAGTATTTGAGACTATGCAAGCCACACACATAGTGTTTTTTGTTATTATCTTGTTTTATTTTGACTTTGGTTTTGAAACAGGGCCTTACTATATAATTCAGGCTGGCCTTAAATTCACAGTGATCCTCCTGCCTCAGCCTCCCCAGCGCTGGTTATGGGTATGTACCATGATATCTAGCAACACACAGTATTTTTGTTTGGTCCATTGTATATAAGCCTTTAAAAATGTTTTCTGGGTGGTGGCACACCCCTGTAAGTTTGAGCCTAATTGTTGCAATTCAGCAACTTAGTGAAATCCTTTTTTCAAAATTAAAGAAAATAAAAAGGCATGTAACAGCTCAGTGTAAAGGCCTCCTTTCAATTCCCAGTACCACACACACACACAGACATACACATAAAAAGCCAAATAATGTGATGAACATCTGTGGTTCCAGCTTCTCAGAAGGTTGGGGCAAGAGCACTGATAGAGCTAAGGTTTTTTTTTTTGTCTTTTTCCTTTTTATTGGTACCGGGGATCCAACTCACGACTTCCGGCTTGCAAGGCAGGCGCTTATGCCGCTGAGCTAAATCCCCAGCCCCGAGCTAAGGTATTTGAGACTCCCATCATAGTAAGACCTCCTCTCATGTAAAACTGCAAAAGCCATTTATAGCCTCAGTTTCTTCTAAAAACAGGTTACAGGCTGGATTTCATCATTGAGAGGTAGTTTGTTGATTGATATAATGATAACTTGGTACTGGCTGTTTGGCATTGCCAAGTTATTTGCTCCTTCATTATATACCACAGGGCGGGGGTCTAGCACTTTTTTGTTCCTATGAAGCACATTATAAGGAATAAAACCAAGAATAAGGAAGCAGGGTTGGGAAGCAATGGCATAAGTGCCTGCCTTGCAAGTGCAAGGTCATAAGTTCGATCCCCAGTACCAAAAAACAAAAGGAAGCACTAGGTTATCAGAGGCAGGAGTCTTGGATCCAAACAGACCCAGATTGATTTCTACCACCTATTTGTTGTGTGATTTCAAGCAAATTACACCATCTTTTTGTGCCTCAAAGGGCAAAAGTAATGGCAACTGTTATTGTTTGTTATATAGTTACAGGAAATTGTTTTTTTCCAATCAGACTTTAGTGGTACTTTTTTTTTTTTTTGAGGCAGGGCCTCACTGTATAATACAGGTTGGCCTTCAACTTGCTTATGTAGCCCAGGCCAGTCTCAAACTCATGTCAATCACCCTGTCTCTGCCTCCCAAGTGCTAGGATTATAGGTGTGCAAAATCACATCTGGCCTTCATTGGTACATTCTAGATATACATAATGATCACATTCATCATAGAGAATTTGTACCTTATTGCAGGAAATTGTGATTTGGTATTATCCCTTCGTCACTGTGAATCCAATCTTCATGTGTGTAATGGTCTACAAGTAATTTCAAACATCTTTGTTTCAAAAAAGCTTTAAACAGCCAACATAGTTTGAGGTGTAAAGACCACTTGTCTTGTATAAGTTGAGAAAATGATGTACCTTTCCTTTGTGTCTGCCTCTCAAAGATGTCTTAAGTGGAAAGTCAATGACAAGCTATGTAATTAACTTTCAGGAAAATGGTTGTTAATTTTAAGAAAGACTCAGTAAGCTGATGAGGAAAAGAAATAGGATGAATAAATAGTGTTTGGGCAGTAAGGTATTTCCCACGTTGCACAGATTTTCGGTGTCATTAGATGGGGCTACCAGGTATGCAGATTGTCCATGGTTGTTCTGTTACCCTGGAGCCTATCTGGGATGGGACTTGTCATTCCAGACTTTGTTTGTTTAATAAGTGTGCAGTGTGATCAAAATCTGAGTCAGTGTTTGAGGAATTTTCCCTCCTTGTTTTGAACACACTGTCCCATCATTATTGTGACTTTCTAAAGTGGTTCTGGATGTCCTCTTTCATGAATATCTTTATGAAGTGTGTTGGAAAAAAAAAAAGTGAATGCTGCAACCAGGTGCCACCCAGTGGAAAGGTAGCCTCATAAAAACATTACAGTGCGTCCATAAAAACATCGTCTTATTCACTGGATCTGGTGCTATTGCCTCCTAGCTGTATACCAAAGTCAAAGTGACCTTGAAAAGTAAGTGTTTTGAATCAATTCAGAACCTCAAGACAGGCTTGACAGCACAACTAAAGATACACATGAGGACTTCCAGAACTGCTTCAGGAGGTGGCAAGAATGGTAGAAAAAAATGTGTTTGAAGCAAGGGAAAGAATTTTGAGAGCGATTAATGACAGTCTTTTACTGTAATATTTTAAACATTCACTGGATTTTTCAGTCACATCTTGTGTTTATTGAACCCCTTATCCTGGGAGTAGAAATGAACTCATCATTTCTATCTTTAAAAAACACGGACTGTAGAGGAAATAGGTCTGTAAACAAAGAGTGTAGTGTGAGCATCAGAATAGAGGGCTCACCAAAAAATCAGCTCTTCTTTAATTAGCTTTCTCAGGTGAGGAAGTCAAGTAGGAATTAATTTTGCAAAATGAGGAGTCATTCTAAGCAAAGGGAGAAGCCCAAGCAAGGGACCCAGGTGTTGAGATTGGTATATTGAAGACCACAGTTTATTGTGGCCAAGACACATTTAACAAAGTAGAGATGAGGCTGGAGAGGTAGCAGAGGGCTGGATCATGGAAAACTCTGTGTGTTGTTTAGAAATACGGACTTTCTCCTATAGAACATGAAGGATTCAGGGTTGAGGCATATCCTGGTCTGCGTTTTGAAACAGAGTGAGCAAATCAGTGTTCACTCACTGCTTACTCATTAAGTTAAACTGCACAAATTCCCCATGTCTGCTGGCCATTGCTTTGTACATCTGTAATCCCTGTACCTGGGAGGCCGAGGTAGAGGGATCAGATCAGTCACAAGTTTGTGGCTAGTCTGGGCTGTCTATCAAGTTCAAGGCAAACCTGGTCTAAAAAGAAAGACCTTGCCCCAAGACAAAACAAAACAACAATAACTAGAAAAATCACTCCATTTCTGCCTGGCATGGTGGTGCACGCCTATAATCCCACACTTGGGAGACTGAAGCAGGAAGATCACTGTGAGTTTGAGGCTAGCCTGGGCTACATAAACAAGTTCAAGGCAAGGCTGCACTATATAATGAGACCCTGTCTCAACAAAACTAAACAAAGACCTTTCCTATAGATATCACTATTTTACAAATTATAATCTTAAGGCCAGAGGCATTCTGCCAGAGGTAAAACAGTACAAAATTATATGAATGAAATCTTGCTTTAGACAGCAAAATGATTTTTTTTCAAGGAACTAAATGGTAAAATATAGAGTCTTATTGATTGATAAAAATAGAATAATACATCTGCTTATTCTGTAGGTTTGGAATTGAAACTTCTTGATCCCAACAAGATCCCCAAGGCTTCAATGACGAGTGGTTTGGTTCAGCAGTTTGAACATACAGTCCTTCCCTCAGTGTCTCCCGTGGCAACTCTCATATGCACTCTGATTGCCATATTGGTAAGAATTCAACAGGTGGTACTCATTCTTTGAGTTTGCTTTGCTTTTCTGTTGTATGGTTGATTGAATTTCAGCTTTCAAGCTTTTCTAACAAGGATAAATTTCATAGCTACAATCCTGCAGATTGAATGATTTGCTAGTAATTCTGAACATGGAAAATAAAAAAAAAGTGTTTCCAGTAAAACTGTGAGAGAAATTCTTGCCAAAATCTCCTAGCCCATCTGTCTCCCCCTGGGGTGAGGAATAAAGAAAAGGCTGAGGAAGAGGAGGCATGGACCATGCTAAGGAGAAAGAGGAAATCTTTACAGCAAAAGCATCTGTTGTGGCTTTTGTCCAGATGTCCCTCCAAGTCTCACGCAGTCATCTGTGGGCCTTCGTCGAGGTGGCTGGATCTAGAGCATGTGACGCTGGGATTGATTCATGGTGCAATGCTAGGATCAAGGGAATGGGGATTAAGGGTATGAGTGCCATTTGCCCTAAGTAGCCTGGATAAGATACAAGGGATAAAAAGAGTGGTTGTTATCCCTTGTTGCTTTGCAACCTTCTGCCTGTCATGAACTTTTCCTCCTCTGTGGTGCCACCTGCCTTGGAGTCAGCTGATTATGAACTGAAACCTCTACAAGCTGTGAACTAAATAAACCTTTCCTCCTGTAACTTTAGGTGTCAGGTATTTTTTTTTCTCAGCCACAAAAAAGTAACTAGGATAGCATCCAGACTTTTTTCATCCTGGGTTAAATGATCAGAATTACAAATTCCAAATATGTCCAGACAGTATGGATGTTTTGTCTTAATTGTGACAAGTTAGAAATAGCAGAGGCTCTGCATCAACTAGAATTTACTTTGAATCACACACTGTTAGAGCTTTCATTCACACTTGTTAGTGATCATGGTGTCCTTAATTTCATAATATAATTTTATTGAAATTCAATATAAACAACTGTTGATACTGAGCTCTGAGCTCTGTATCTTTTTGGTTTCTGAATGATCTAAACTGAGCTCTTCTTCGTTTCTGAATGATCTAAACTGACTCCTTTTCACTATGTGAAAATGTATTCATATACTTTACCTAAGATAAAAATTTCTTTTCTAAAAATCTCAGTTTTGCTGGGCATGGTGGCGCATCCCTGTAATCTCAGCACTCAGGAGGCTGAGACAAGAGGATCACTGTGAGTTCAAGGCCAGCCTGAACTACATACTGAAACCCTATCTCAAAAAAAAACAAAATAAAATAAAGTAAAATCTCAGCCTTGTGAATCAGGCTCATTGGTGCATACCTATAATCCCAACTGCTCAGTAAGCTGAGGCAAGAAGATTGTAAGCTCAGTCTGGACAATTTAATGAAACCTTGTCTCAAAAAATATTACCTTAGCCCTATAAACTGCATATAAAAGGCAATAGTTTTATTAAAACATACTTTAGCCCCAAACTAAATGTTTACTAACATGATAAAATCTATTAGCCAAAAATACCTATGAGCTTTACTGTTTGATCTAATGGAGTCAATGAATATTAATGGACTAATTATAAAGCTATAAGTTATTATGCTGTATGCTCTAGAGTAATGAGTTAAATTTGTTTCCAAATGCCGGCTTTCTCTTAGTTGTTTTTATGTTAACTTTCAGTGAACTCAGACATAAAGTGATAAATTATCCCAATTACTGGAGAACTGCTGTTTTTACTGCTGTCTTGCTCTGTATTTGAGAAGTGATGCTAATTGCCTTTGTCGAAACACTGTTTCTCTAAAGCCCAGTCTTAAATGACACTGAAGTTTTATTTTTGCCGGTTGTTTCTAGCCCTCTGTTTGCTGTCTCTGGCTTAAACCCCAAGGGCCCAGAGGCTTTCTTCGATGTCTGATTCTCTGTGCCTTGAGTTCCTTCATGTTCGGGTGGCACGTCCATGAAAAAGCCATTCTTCTCGCAATTCTCCCAATGAGGTAAGCAGATAGCGCAGCCAGGCAGCACTGCGGGTGTATTTCAGTGTCTTGTAATTTTCCATGTTGTGCCCCTTCTTATTCTGCCCAATGGGACAAGGAGAGGAACAGAGTTCCACTAGCCAATCAGGGATGTTTCACTTGGGATCTTTGGACCCAGGAATGTTTTGAGATTTGTAAAGATGCAGGTAGTCATTCTGCACTTTCAGTAAGTGATAGAATATTAATTAACTGCCATGATAGGTCTGGATATTCAGTGCTAGCATAGCTTGGGGGAAAGCTTTGGCATTATCACATCCATGAAAATAAGTCCCTCATTAAGTACTGATTGTCAAAGTTGGAGCTGAGACCATTTGGGGTAACTCCATAATATTTGTACTGCACTTTACATTTTCCAGACTATTTCCATTTTGTTTTTGCATTCTTTCTTTTTTTTTTTTTTTTAATCGGTACTGGGATTGAACTCATGACCGCCTACTTGCAAGGCAGGTGCTTATGCCGCTGAGCTAAAACCCCAGCCCCTGCATTCTTTCTTTTCAGCTTGTCAACAGCATTTAAGATAGGATAAATCAGTATCGTATTGTCTGTTTTAACATCTGCAGAAACTAGGACTCATTCTATAACTTCTCCAAAATCACATAGCTAGCAAGTAGCACTGAGAGCTTCAAACTGATCTTACAATTCTGAATTGTATGATCTTTACAGTGTGCTATTAAAAATTTTTTTTGGGGGCTGGGGATTTAGCTCAGCGGCATAAGCACCTGCCTTGCAAGCAGGCGGTCGTGAGTTCGATCCCTGGTACCGAGAAAAATGAAAAAGACAAAAAAAAAAAAAAAAAAAAAAAAAAAATTTTTTTTTAGCTAAGCATGGTGGCACATACCTGTAATCCCAGCACTCAAGAGACTGAGGCAGGAAAATCTCTATGAGCTCAAGGCCAGCTTGAACTATATAGCAAGACCCTGTCTCAAAAAAATAAATTTTAAAAAAATTTTAATGTATCCATTGTATGAATAATTGAAACTCAGTAGATGGATGGTAATGAAATGATCCTTTGTTTCTTGAATTTTTTTTCGAATCTTGAGAAATCATTTAAACTTTGAAAAACAAAACCATTGAGCATATTTCAGATCAGTGTATGATTTCCCTGGTTTTATTTAGCAGTAAAAGTATTTCCAAATTAAAAATTAGAGCAGAGGTTTTAATGTCATTAGCCTGAAGTCATTCTGCAAGTGCAGGACATAACCTAAAAGATGAGCTGAGAATTGGAAATGAAATTCCAAGTTCTGTTTCCCCATTTGGAACCACTAGGCAGCTCCCAATCCCACATTTGTTTCTTTGGAGAAGGCAATTAAGGAAAAAAGTCTCCTTTTTGGATATTCCCCGATTTAGTTCAGTACCTTTATCAAGTGCTTAAGTTTCCTGTAAAAAATTAATTCTCTGTTGAACTGGGCTTATAACACTACCAATATTTATTTTATGCTGAAGCCAATTCTAGGAATACTAACAGATACAATTCAAGATCTTCTCAAGTGTTATTTGCGTTGTTGTAAGGAATTATTACAAGAATTTTTTATCTTTAGTCTTTTGTCTGTGGAAAAAGCAGGGGATGCTTCAATCTTCCTGATTCTGACCACTACAGGACATTATTCCCTCTTCCCTCTGCTCTTCACCACACCAGGTAAGGAGCTGCTTTTTAGAGTGATATGTTGACTACCACGGACTTTCTGTCATGGCCTGGAGATCCGTGCTTATTGATAGGCTTGTGGGAGGAGCGGTCTTATCCATTCTCTTAAATAAAACCTGCAGTTGGGGCTGGGGATTTAGCTCAGTGGCAAAAGCGACTGCCTTGCAAGCAGGCAGTCGTGAGTTCGATCCCCGGTAACGATAAAAAGGAAAAAGACAAAAAATAATCACCGCTAAATAAAACCTGCAATTTATCCCTAATTTTAAGTATCCTTAGAGGGTAAAGGTAACATAGGTAAAAAACACCAGGGCCAGTGATTTAGCTCAGCAGCATAAGCACCTGCCTGGCAAACATGAGGTTGTGAGTTTGACCCCTGGTATCAAAAACAACAACAAAAACCCTACTAATGTGTCATTATTATGACAAGTTATGAACTGTTTCATTGTGCTTATGTTACCTTAAATATCATAAATTTTCTACGTATCAGCTAAATTATTTGCAATTTTTTTTGTTCTTTTAACAGAACTTCCCATTAAAATCTTACTCATGTTACTCTTCACTATCTACAGTATTTCTTCACTGATGACATTATTCAGGTAATCAGAAAAAATATTTAAAATTATGTTTGCTCTTGTGAGTTTTGAATTGTTTTTTTGTTTTTTATCTTTTTCTTTTTTATCGGTACCGGGGATCGAACTCGCGACTGCCTGCTTGCAAGGTAGGTGCTTATGCCACTGAGCTAAATCCCCAACCCCAAGTTTTGAATTGTTTACTCTTAATTAGTTATCTTTAAGGTTTTTTAATGTTTATTTATTTGTGTTTTGTTATATTTTGATATCTGGGATGGGACCCCAGGTTTTGTGCATGCTAGGCACTCTACCGCTGAACATCTCCAGCTTTTCTTTCTTTCTTTCTTTCTTTTTTTTTTTTTTTTTTTTTTGAGATACAGGGTCTTGTGTAGTACAGGCTGGCCTTTATCTCACTATGTACCCCAGGCTGACCTCAAACTTGCAGCAATCCTCCTGCCTCAGCCTCCTGAGTACTGGGATTACAGATGGGCACCAACAGGCCCAGCTATTCCAGCCTATTTTTAAATTATAATAGTAAAATAACAATGATCCAAAATACTGATAAAGGGCTGGAGATATAGGTCAGTGGCACAGCACCTGCTGGGCAAGCACAAGGTCCTGATTTTGATTCCCAGTACCAAAAAAAAAAAAAAGGCAAGTAGAAAGAGAGACTATCCATAAGATTATCCTGTCATTCTGGCACAATACCACAGATGTGTTTAGGTTAGGGAAATACTTAAGGACAATTTCTTACCTCAACTTAATACTTTACATGAGTTACATACCTGTAATCTCAGCATTCTGGGAGGCTGACACAAGATAGAAAGTTTAAGCCTCCCCCACAAAAAAAGTTTAAGCCCAGCCTAGACAATTTGGTCACTTAGTGAGACCCTGCCTGAAACTTTAAAAGGGACTTAGGATATGGTTCAGTGTGAAGGCACTGGATTCATATCCCAATACCACACACAAAAGTTTATGGATAAAATTATATATATAAATACAAATACACATGGAAAAAACTAAAAGTGATTATGTAAAATATGGAATTATGAATAGAAATTTTCTCTGTTCTAAACATTATATAATATTAAGTCTGGCATAGTGGTACATACCTGTAGTCCTAGCAGGGGAGGCTGAGGCAGAAGGATCACCACAAGCTTGAGGTAGCCTGGACTACATAGTGAATTAAGCCCAGCCTATCATATACATATCAAGACCCTGTCTCAAAAAACAAAAACAAAAATAAAGTCTGTAATATTTTAAAGATTGTTAATGGTTTATATCTGATTGTCCATAAAATGTATATAATTATATTAAAATTTAATTACAACATGTGATCCAGTAATTCCACTCATAGCTATACACAAACAACTAAAAACAAACACTTGTACACCAGCATTCACTGTACCATTATTCACAACAGAGCTAAAAGATGAAAACAACTCAAATGTCTAGTAAAAAAAGAATGGAGCCAGGTGTGATGGCACACACCTATTATTTGGGAGGCTGAGCCAAGAGGATCGCTGCAAGTTCAAGGCCAGTCTGGGCTAGAAAATGAGTTCTAGGCCAGCCTGAACTACATAGGGAAACCCTGTCTCTTAAAAAGACAAAAAAAAAAAAAAAAAAAGGAAAGAAAGAAAGAAAGAGAAAAGAAGGAAAAGAAGTGTAAATGAAATGTGGCATATACTTACAGCAGAATATTTAGCCACAAAGAAGAATGAAGTTACAGATATCTGCTATAACATGGATGAATCTTGAAAACATGTCAAGTGGAAAAAGGCAGAAGCCAGGCATGGTAGCACATACTTGTAGTCCCATCACTTGGCTGAGGCAGGGGCTGAGGCAGGAGGATTGCCACAAGTTCCAAGCCCATCTGGACTACATAGTGCGCTCAAGGCCAGCCTGAACTACATTGGGAGACCCTGTCTCAAAAAGCACCCACACACACACACACAGATAAATAGTGTATGATTCTACTTAGGTCATATTCCAGAACAGCCAAATTCATGGAGACAGAAAATAGATTAGAGGTTAGGGGCAGGCATATAGTAAATTATTAATGGTTTTGTTCTGCTTTTATTGTTTGAGGTCTGGAAAATTGTTTGAAAGTGGTTAGTGGCGATAGGTACACATTATTAATGTATTTAATGCCACTGAATTAGATACTTAATGATTAAAATAATGAATTTCATTATTTATATTTTGCCAAACTAAAAGTCTTTAATTTAAAAAAATACTCAATTATATATTATCGTATTCTTATTTCAGTGATACAGAATGCTTTCCCTCTTCCAAATGCAGAGCTAATTTTCCCTGCGTAGGGGCCAGCGCAGGTAGAGGACTGGGTAAACCTGGATGGGCGAGGTGATATAATCATGTGTCGTTATCAGTTTTTCTGCATGTGAAATTTAATGCATTGTTTTGACTCTGGTCTTGGCTATGGCACATCAAGACAGTGCAGCTGGGGAAGCTTCTGCAGAGAAATACTTACTTGCTAAACAGGATGATTCATCTAAAATCAGTCTTTTTGTTCCTTTTTTCTTCAGAAAAGAAAAACCTCTTTTTAATTGGATGGAAACTGTCTACCTCCTTGGCCTGGCGCCTTTGGAAGTCTGCTGTGAATTTGTGTTCCCTTTTACCTCCTGGAGGCTGAAGTACCCCTTCATCCCTTTGTTACTGACTTCAGTGTATTGTGCAGTGGGTGTCACATATGCTTGGTTCAGGCTGTATGTTTCCATGTTGACTGGCCCTCCTGGTGGCAAGACAAAGAAGCAATGAATAAAGGAACTGCTTGGATGCAGGCCAAATAGTTATTTCATGGGAAATTAATCAGAACTTGAAAGTTGCCGGTGGTGTGAGCCATTCATTTCAGCAGGTCTGTTCAGAGGACCATTCTTCCACACTTGGCCTTACCCAGCCTAGCAACCTGATTGTCACCATGGTGAGAAGCCACTTGATCTCCGTAAGCAGTGAAACACATCTGAAAAAAAATCTTGCCTTCCCCTGTTAAAATTGTCTGACATATTCAGACTGCTTTGTTTACTGAGGGAAAACAGGGAGTCTAATTAACAGCATGATTATTTTTAGCCTGTGTGGACTATTGTGAGGATATGAAACATAATTGGATTCCTAAACTGAAGGAAATATAAATAAAATGCCATTTTGTATTTCTGCTTGAAATATTTTTGGGTCATTACCAACTCTTACAACATTTTCCTGTTGGCGTACACACAGGCAGATAGTGTTCTGTTCCCAGTCTGTACACCTTGATCTAGGAGGCTTTTTTTTTCATTGAAATTATACAATGACAATATTAAACAAAGGGGGAACATTTAATGTACTGCTTTATCCAAGCAGTGGATACTACAAACCACAGGTACTTGTACTGAGCTAAGGACATCTCGTTCAGCTCACTTATTCTAACATGAAGCTTTGCAATTTTGCTTACTGGCTGCCACTTAAACCTTCCCTAGGGGTTGGGGATTTAGCTCAGCAGCATAAGCACCTGCCTTGCAAGCAGGCAATCGTGAGTTCGATCCCTGGTACCGATAAAAATGAAAAAGACAAAAAAAAAAAAACCTCACTCATGCGAACAAACAAAAGTGATTTTTGCAAACATTCTCTTGCTCTCCTTTGCTTGAAAGTACTTTATTCAGGACCTCAGTTTGCCTAATATCTGCTGCATATTCAAATCACCCACTATTTAGCCAACACCAGAATTTTAACACACTTTATTTTTCTGTTATCCCCTATGATCAAAAAAAGCCTAAGATCAGTGGCATTTGGGGGTGCTAACCCTGTTCCCATCCCTTAAGTCCACTCTTAATTTTCCCAGATTTCTTTTAAATCTGTTGTTGCAGCGGTGAAAATAGGGATTATGAACAAGGTGTGGTGGTTCACCTGTAATCCCAGCATTTGGGAGGCTAGAGCAGGGTATGGAGAGGTTGAGGTCTCCCTAGGCTACATAGCTAGGCCCTGTGGAGGAGGATTAGTCAGAGGGAGGGAAGCTTCCCTCCTGTAGTCTTGTCCGTCTCCCTGTATCCAGCTATCTCAGCAACTGAAAATTCCCAGTGTGTTGTGCTGTGTTGGACTTCTGCTTTCATTCACTCATGCTACTTTCCTCTCTTCTGGCTTTTCTACCTTGTCATCTGATTATACACACTTCAAGATTTACCTAAAGTTGGGGGTAACACAGTGGTAGAGTATTTGCTTAGCACCTGCAAGGCCCTGGGGTCAGGGCTAATTACTGAAAGAAAAAAAACTCAACCCATGTGCTGCCATACCTATGAATATAGAGGTCTTTCAGCATAATGATTAAAAAGTTGGGCATGGGGGGGGCTGGGGATTTAGCTCAGCGGCATAAGCGCCTGCCTTGCAAGCAGGCAGTTGTGAGTTCGATCCCTGGTACCGATAAAAAGGAAAAAGACAAAAAAAAAAAAAAAAAAAAAAAAAAGTTGGGCATGGGGACGCATTCCTGTAATTCTAGCACTTGGGAGGCTGAGGCAGGGGTATCACTGAGTTTTTGATGCGAGCCTGGGTTACATAGCAAGACCCTGTCTCAAAACAAAACAAAGATTAAAAAATAGAGACCTTAAAAGTATATAGGTTTGTTGGAAACCCCCCACCCACCCACCCCCGCATTTTGGCTCTCTGGATCAAATCCAGAGCCTGGTTCATGCTAGGCAAGTGTTTTACCACTGAACTACATCCCCCGCCCTCTTTATATTTTTTAACAGGTAGGCAATTGATTTAACTCTCCTTTGCATTAATGTCCTCTTCTCTAAAATGATTGCAGAAGGTTTAAAACACTGGTTGGGTGTTTACTATACATCAGTTGCTATTTATATGGATCCTGTTCTTTCTTTCTTTCTCTCTCCCCTAGAATTGAGTACCTCTACCACTTGTTTCCACTGACCCCGAGATCTGTTTCTATCATTAATTGCTGTGATGCTTACATGCATGTGTCTATTTACGTGTTTTCCACAGAAGAGCACACAGCGTAATGGTTCCAGTTTTTGGCACAGTTGAATGAAGGAAGCATACCACAAAGGCCACGATTAAATCCTGACTGTGACTACCACAACCGTTAACATAAAAGAGCTAGGGTACTTCCTCACATTTTGACAGCTGTACAAGCAAAAAAAATTATTTGCATGCATCTCAGTAAGGCCAGATTGAATTGTTTAATTGTTGAGAGTGATGAGACAGCAGAACCAGAAGGGCTCGTCTACTACAAGGATGTCCAGAATCTCTACAGAGCACTGGAGGCTTTTTAGATTTGCCTCAGCAGCTCTAGGTTCTCTCCCATCTTCCCCCAAAGCAAATATGCTTTGATCTATTGCACATAAAAGGCTTCATATTCATTTTCCTTTGACTTCAGGATTCAAAGTCCAAAGACATCCCTACAACAATTCAAATCTTTATGTGACAGAAGGGAGATGGCTCCATGGACTGAGAAATATCCTACTAGTACCAAAACAATCTAGAACCCAAGCTTCCTACCTACCACCTAGTATTCTTTTCCAAGCATTGTATTTTGTATTCATGTTTTTGTTGTTTTGTTTTTTAGTACTGGCAATGAAACTCAGGACCTTGACTTGCCAAGCAGGCGCTGTGCTACTGAGCTATATCCCCGGCCTCTTTATTTATGTTTTTAAACATTGTGGGTGTGTTTGTTGTTGTTTGGTGCTGGGGATAGAACTCATGACCTTGTGTTTGCCAGGCAGGTGCTTATACCACTAAGCTAAATCCTTTGTGGGTATTTTTCAACTACAAATTCCTAGGATTTAGAAGTTAAATAGATGTACTGTTTTTAAAATTGTGTGTGTGTGTATCTGAAACAGGATCTCACTATGTAGTTCAGGTTGGCCTTGACTCACTATGAAGCCCAGGTCTTGAATTTATACTGATCCTTCTGCCTCAGCCTCCTGGAATTACAGGCATGTGCCACCACACTCAGCCTTAAAATGTTCTGAAATCTAAAGCAAAGTCAAGAACAAGACTATCAAATTTTAAATGATATGCACTTATTTCTTATCTGTCTGAGGTACATGCAGTGAACCAGAATTTTAAAAGATTAAAAAAAAAAAATGGGTAGGGCTTGACATTTTTCACTGTATTTTTCCCCGGGTAGAATAAAACTAGAGTTGGGCAGAAACCACTAGGAAGATGTACTGTCTTCCAACTCAACATTTGTCTCGTTAATGACTTCTTTCTGGAAACTCATCAGACATGGGCCCTTCTGTATGCCCCAGCAGCTTGTATTAGCAGTTAACAGAGAAAAGCACTCCATCAAAATAGAGCCATTTCTTCAATAGTTTGACGATATTCCACTTTCAGTGGGATGATGGTAGGAAGTCTTCTGACCCATCCACCTTTTGTTTGTACACCAAAGAAACAAGCTACTGTGCTAATGGCATTTGAGATGAGAACAGTTTCAGAAACTTCAAAAACCTGAATCAGTATAGCCATTAGTTTTTCACTGTGAAGTCACAGATTTAACATTGCCATTTTTTAGGAAAGTTGATAATTTTCAGATTTAGGAGTTAGAAATAAAAACAGTATACTTGAACATGTACAAAAGCTCTGAAAAGGACAGGATCCATCATATACTCCTGTACCAAAAAACTAAATCCTCAGCAGCTTTATTTTGTAAAGTTTTCCTGATGATAGCTAACTAAGCAGTGGAGGAAGGAGTTTGTTCACTAATCCCATATATGCAGGTGTCTGTTAGGGTGTTATTCATGCTAAATTCGTATTTTTCTTTTTCTGATCTTCACCTGGTAATTTCTGTTAAAATCAATACATAATGAGGTTCCATTACCATTTATGTGACAGCCTCTAGAGTAAGAGGGTCAGCAATATGCCAAGTGCTATGGTAGGCATTACATTTTTTCCTTTCTAAAATTTTGCAAATCAAATTCATTATTGCTTGGAAAAAATACTGACTATTAAGGGGTTAGGCACTGTGTTAGGTGCCAGAGATCAAAGTGTGGTCGAGAATGATACATTCTCGCCCACTCTAGTAGGTACAGGGACATCAAAGGCTGAGAGAGGAATAAGTTGAAATTGAGGAAGTAGGCAGGATCCAAATTAAACAATTTTTAGGTTATTATAAGAAATTAGATTTTATTGTAAGTCAAATGGAACCCAAAAGGGCTTCAGATCTTCTGAGTTAGTTTCACACATATAGGGCAAAATTTAAAACATGCCTACTCACCCAGTTCACTACCAAGATAAAACCATTGTTATCAGTTTCTTTAATCATTTTAGAGCTATCAAAGATTCTCTATGCACAGACTATATATATATATATATATATATAAACATTTGTAAATATTTAAATGTGTATTTTCCTGATTTGTATTCAGAATTTACATCAGCCTTCTAGGGAACATTTTTGGTGATTTTCATTCTTTTGATATAATTTTAAAAGAAACACTGTGACTTTTAAAGAAAAACTATGAGTAGCTAGGTGTGGATGGTGCATGCCTGTAATACCAGCACTTGGGAAGTTAAGGCAGGAAGATCAATGCAAATTCGAGACCAGCCTGGGCTACAAAGTGAGCTCAAGGCCAGCCTGATTGCATAATTAGGTCCTGTCTCAAAAAGAAAAAACAACAAAACTATGTGTGGAAGCTTTTTCAGGTCATATTAATTCTGTAGGACAGAATCTTAGACCTATAGTTACTGGACTAACAAGTTTGAGCTTTTAAAACGTTTACTGCCTTTCAGGAAATTTCCAATATATACTCTCCAGAATAATGTTAGCTTGAAATATTACAGATCAGAGAGTGCTTTTTTTTTAAATAGGCACAGAAAGGCCATCCTTTATTCTTTTCATGGTGAAAGGGAGGAAACCCACACCCTCATGCATGCTAAGCAGTCACTTTACCACGGAGCTACTTCTTGCCCCTCATCCTTTTTAATTGCTTTTAGCTGATATTTAACTCTTCACTTAGGAAATCAATACCTTTGATGTATATATCTTTGCATTGACCTCTGGCTTAATCAGCTTTCTGGATAAAATACGGGATGTCACGGATAAATGGACACAACAGGAAGACATTTTATCTCTGTACAGTGTTATGAAAGGCTTTCTGAAGAAAACTGTTCAAAGTTGAAAGCTCCCCATTATTGGAAGCAGGAACTGTGCAAAGGCTGGGCAATTACTTGACAGCATGGCTGCTTTCACTCATCAAACCTTTAGAGAACACTTCTTCCCTCAACCTTGCGCAAGGATCTGAAGACTCAGCAGGGAAAGAAACATTTTAGGGCGCTGCCGCGAAAGCTGAATTTCAAGAATAGACCAACCGATTCAGTCCTGGGCTTCTTTGAATTCTTTGTTGCTGCCAGAACCCTAATTTTAGGCTTTGGAGGGTATGTTTGTGCGAATAAATAGTTAGAAACAGAAAAACAGCTTTTATACTGTTTCAGTTAATGATTCCCACTTGTGAGTGCTGAATGCAAAGACGAATTTTTGCCGAAGAAACATTCACGGGCAGGGAAGGGATAGGCAATTCCAGATACGGGAATTATGCCGGAAAAAAAATAACATCTAGCTTTTGTCAAATTTAGTTCGTCTGGTGTACCTGATCCATTGGTGCCAGGCTCTCAAACCTTCACTTCCACTAGAAGAATCAGCGCCACGAGGGAGTAGCCTGAGCCACTTTGCAGCCGGAACCCCCTGTACCGGGATCCAGGTAGCACGCACCGGGAAGGATTTGGGCGCTGCACCGCCGCGCACTCTGTCCTTCAGCCGGGTACTGGAAGGAGAAAGCTTGCCGCTTAGGTCCTATCGGGTTGTGGTGTTTTGTTTTGTAGATGGAGGTCTGAGGCTAGGCCTCAAGTGGAAACGGTGTCACCATGATGGACGGACGGCCGGGCCGAGTGCCCCTACAGTTCCTACCAGATGAGGCTCGGAGTTTGCCTCCGCCCAAGCTGACCGACCCGCGGCTTCTCTACATGGGCTTCATGGGCTACTGTGCAGGCTTACTTGATAATGGGCTCCGGCGGAGGCCGCCACTGACCGCGGGTGAGAGCCGCGCGTGTGCGATCCCCGGGAGAGGGGTTCGCGGGGCGGCGGGCTGCGGGCAAAGTTCCTCGTGAGGCTTCCCCACCCCCACGCGGGTGCTCTTGATTTTCTGGGTCTTTTCGCCTGGTTGGTCGCGCCTGCCTTTCTGCAGGTCCCTCGCATTAGCTCTTAAGAATCGGGCAAAGTAAGGTTGTGGTGTCCATTTGAGAAAACAGGTTTTGTGAAACAGGGATTGGTTGTAATGCCACGGTGAATCTGAAAAGTAAAGCAAAAACAAAAACCGGGACTTCAGTCAATTTCACAGTGCTTTATACAAAAATGAGCGTTTATTCTATGCTGGGTACTACTGATTCTCTGTGGTCTTTTTAGGATATAGACCTTTAAAAAAAAAACTTTCACGGAGAGTTATTAGCCATCGATGAAGAAACAGTACAAGAGAGGTTAAAGCAGCTTGCCCAGGACTGTGGCATGTTTGTAAGTCGCAGATCTTGTTTATAAGTTAGACCTGAGTGTGTATTCTAAACCAATGCTTTGCAGAATTAGTGTGCATTAGAATAGCTGGCTGGGGTGGCACTCCCTCCTGTAATCCTAGCACTGGCTAAGACAAGAAGATCAAGTGTTGGGAGTCCAGCCTGGGCTGCATATTAAGACCCTGTCTCAAAAGAATTACAGGAACCACCCCCAAGAAAGATAATGAAATAAATGGTCCTTACTAAGGATCGTCCCACTTGTGCCTGTTTGTATGTCAGTTCCCAGCCCATGAAATCCAAGCATTTCCAGTGTTCAGATAGTATTGCAACCCCATCTCCCATGGAATGACCCTTCAGTACAGAAAGGAGTAATTTTTGTCCATTTCTGCCCCAGAATACGAGGTTTTTCTCTCTTGTTAGTACCACTTCACATTTGCCCAAGCCTGTCACTTGGTATAATGAACTCCACTTGGGAACTTCACTTTGGGCAAATAAATTGGTGAGACTGTTCAGAGCCAAAGTTTCTTCAACTATAAAATGAGAACAGTTAATACTTCATGTTTGTTATGAGAATTAAGTGAGGTTCTATATGTAGAATGCCTGACATACAAAAGCACTGGGTGAAGTTCCTTTCTGTTAGCTCTTATGTAGTTTACCATATATTTGCTCAATATCAAGCTTTTCTCTGTGCCAAGCATTGACTTATATATTGGCTATATGGGGTGAGGAATACCATTCCTGCCTTTAAATGAATAAGCAGTCCATTACTTATCTTACTGTGATAGGAACACATTTTGATTAGAGGTGTGTGGACAGAGAGTGCTTTGAGAGCACACAAAGGAGGCAGAGGTGGTAGGAAGAATGTTGTGGGAGAAGTAAAAATTGACTAAAATACACTGGTATATACCACTGAGGCTCACCTCATTTTCATCAGTTGAGCCTTTCCAGGAGCCAGAAGAGTACAGTAGCTAACGGCATATGCTTTTGGGTTTGATAGTACCCTCACCCCTGTAAGCCACTTGATTCTAGGCAAGTTTTCTAACTCAAAACCAGAGAAGATAATGTTTTTAAAGCATAGTCAAGGACTAGTTCAGAGTTCCTGAATTTCCTGAACTTCCCTAAATTGCTTTGGAAAATTTAGATGCTGAAGACTTTGGAAATCATTATCTTTACAGCATTTATTGAATGCATGTTGCATTTGTCTAGTTCAGTGGCATATAGTAGAATAGAATACAATAAAATAAGTACTTACTGAATGAATAAGTGCAGGTAGATTACAAGAAGAGTATAAAACATGGCCCCAACCCACCAGAGACTTACAGTCCAGATGGCTGTACCAGTTAAAAACCACATTGTGGTACCAGTTTATGCTTGTAGAGTATCAAATGTGACACATAAATTATGTTTGTAAGAGAGGAGAAGTAAGAAAGAAATAGATGGATTTTCAAACTATAGTCTTAAAGAGTACTTAACATTCTACAGGTAGTAACAGAATATTAGCCGCTTAGTCCAATTACTTAAATATAGATGACTAAAAATTGTGCATTTTTTCTTAGTTTTTATAACAATAAGAAATATAAAAATGACAGTCTTTTCTAATTTATTCTATATGAGAATCAGCAAGTTTAAAGGATAACTGACCAAGCAACACTCAGGATTTGTCAGTGCATGAACAAATGCTACCTGAGTGACACTCAGGGTAAATTGTTGAGTGGTTAATGAAATACAATTGTGTATGTCTTTTTAAAATTAGTAAAAATGCTAAATTAATTTTTTCTTAAGCTTTTTTCCCTTTCACCTGTTTTTTTTAAAATCCTTGTTACTGGTTGCTACTTAGCTGTCTTCAATTTAGAATTAGTTTGTAATCTAGTATAATCTACAAAATTACATATTTATTAATTTCTAGTGTAATCAATCAGTAATTTGTTATTATACAACGAGCCAAATGACTTCCTGATTTAGATTCACTGAGTAAATAAAGAAGGAGAAAGTGACTGTGGAGGAAGACCAGCCCTGAAAGAGAGGAGACTAGGTAAATGAGGGCTAATGAAAATGCTAAATCAAGGCAGGTGTGATAGTACATGCCTATAATCTCAGCAGTCTGGGAGGCTGAGACAGGAGTATTGCACATTTGAGGCTAGCCCGGGCAGCTTAGTAGGACCTTATCTCAAAATTCAAAAACTGAGGGGGCTGGGGATTTAGCTCAGCAGCATAAGCGCCTGCCTTGCAAGCAGGCAGTCGCGAGTTCGATCTCCGGTACCGATAAAAAAGAAAAAGAAAAAAAAAAAATTAAAAAACTGAAAAAGGGTTACAGATACAGATCATTTAGAAAGCCTTGGGTTTGATTCTCAGCACCAAAAAAAAAATAAGGGCCAAGCCATGCATTGAGGGCTGGGATGTTGACATCATCATCTAAAACTTTTTTGTCTATTTAGTGCTGGGAATTAAACTCAGGGCCTTCACTGTAAGCTATAGCCTCAGGTCCCTTTTTTTTTCTTTCTTTCTTTTTTTTTTTTTTTTTTTGGTGAGGAAGCGGGGAGTACCAGAAATTAGACTCAGGACTTTACACTTGCCAGGCAGGTGCTGTGCTACAGAGTTATACCCGTAACCCTTTTTTAAAATTTAGAGACAAAGTTGTGAAGTTGTCCAGGCCAGACTCAAATGTGCCATCCTTCTGCCCCAGCCTACAGAGTGCTGGGATTATAGGTATGTGCCATTGCACCTGACTCCAAAATGCTTTTATGCATATTTTGTCTTGGTATATATATTACTACTAGAAAAAGATGGAATAAATATTACCTCTGTTTTAGAGGTAGTAAACTGACTTACTTAGGACCATTTATTAATTAATATGTATTAAATGCTGTGTGCTAACATGTAAACATGAAACAGATACTAACTTTGCCTGATGATAGAAACAAAAATGAATTTCCATAGTAGCTTATATAGTACGTAAGATGAATTCAGGCCAGGAATATAGCTTAGTGGGGTAGCACCTGCCTGGCAAATAGATGAATTCACCCTTTTAACTATAGGAAACGGGAAAATTTCTTAGGGAAATTGATATATCAACTTAACTCTGAGTTGAGTCCTAAAGAATGATGTGGTTTCTGGGCCCAGAAATAACAAGTTCATGGTATTTGAAGCATGGAAGTTTCAATGAGGAATTCAGGGTTGTTCAGTGTTGCTGGAATGCAGTGTACATATCAGCAAGTGTCAGAAGGAAAAGGTAAAAAAAGAGTTGGCTCACGAATGGCTGTATTCAGGAGTTTCAACTCCTTTTTGACAAAATTAAAGGGTACAGAGAGGACTCCATGATAGGCGTGCATCTTAGTTAATTCCTAGTGACTGAGTAAAAGCTAGGATGAGAGTGGAATGGCTAGTGTGACAAGGAGGCCAGATAGTGCAACCCAGAGCCCCCCTAAACTAGGAAAGGAAATACCAGATAAAATTGATAGGGTGCAGTAACTGGATACGAGAAAAGAGGTTAGAATAAGGGATGATTAGCCAGGTGTAGAGACACATACCTCTAATCTGAGCATTCTCAGACTGAGGTAGGATTGCAATAAACCCCAGCCTGGACACTTTAGGAAATTAGACCCTGTGTCAAAAATAAAATATAAAAAGTAGAAGGGCTGCAATTGTAACTTAGTACAGAGGCCCTGGGTTCAATTCCCAGAACCACCACCACAAATATATGTGTTTTTGTTGGTACATACTTGTAATCATAGTTCTTTAGGAGGCTGAGGCTGGAGGATCAGAAGTTCAAACTCATTCTGGGCAGTTTAGTGAGACCCTGTCTCAAAACTAAAGGACTAAAATTGAATGTGAAGGCCCTGGATTCAGTTCCCTAGTAGGAGCGGGGAGCAAGAACGATTACTGTTTATGACTTGGATTCCTTAGCAAATGATCCTGTCATTCTCTGAGATAGGAAAAAGGTATAATGAGTAAAGCAATGAGTTGGGTTTGGAGTATCATATGTCTGTCAGATATTTGGAGTATATGTGTTATTCAGCATAACTGGTTTGGACATACTTCTTTGGCTGGATAATAAAACACATGGGTAAGACACATCACATGGATAATAAAAGACTAACCATGGATCAGTTCTCCAAATGTGCATGTGTGAGAGAAGATAAGATGACTATAGGGAGGATTCTAGGACATGTAGGAAATCAAACCTGCAGTAAACCTTTTGTAAATACTTTCCATGTATCCAGTCAGACTTTGCATTCTAATTTCCTAGGCCGCATGATTTGATCCAGTCTCATTATAGTAGGGTGCCTCTCTCTGTCTCTGTCTCTGTCTCTGTCTCTATCTCTGTGTCTGTCTCTTTCTTTCTTTCCTTTCTTTTTTAGACAACTTGTTGCCCAGGCTGCCTTCAAACTCCTGGGCTCAGGCAACCCTCTTACATCAGCCTCCGGAGTAGGAGTAGTATCACACAGATTCCACACCCAGTTAGAAATGGGATAATTGTGTGTGTGTTTTAAAATTTTTATTGGTACATTTTGGATAGATACAACATTCATCATAATTTTTGCCTGTATATGATATATCTTGCTGCTGCTTTTTTTCTCATTCCTTTCCCGTCCCTTTAACCCCTCTTTCCTTCCTTATGTCCTTTTTTTCTCATCCCTTTAGAAATGGAATGTTTTGGTTTTTTGTGTGTTTGAGGGGGTTGTTTGTTTGTTTGTTTTTGTGTGTATGTGTTTTAAGACAGATGTGTAGTCCAGGGTGGCTTTGAACTTACTATGTTGCCCAGGCTGGCCTTGAACTTAGCAGTAATTACCCTGCCTCAGCCTCCTGAATGCTAAGGTTAACAGGCATGCACCACCATGCCCAGCTAAAACAGATTGTTCGTTTTGGTTTGGTTTTTCTGGTACCGGGGATTGAACTCATGACTTCATGCTTGCCAGCAAAACAGGATGGTTTTTGTGTGTGTGTGTGTACCAGGGATGGAACTCATGACCTTGCACTTGCCAGGCAAGTACTTTCACCACTGAGCTAAATCCCTGGCCCCTAGGATGATTTTTAAAATACAGTTTGAATAGAGTTTTCGAAATGCAAATAGTACAAAAGAGAAGGGATTTCCAGGCTGGGGATTTAGCTCAGTGGCATAAGCGCCTGCCTGGCAAGAGTGAGGTCGTGAGTTCAATCCCCAGTAGCCCCCTCCCCACCCCCGCAAAAAAAAGAGAGAGAGAAGAGATTTCTTAATGATGTATGCTATAGCTGATTGTTTGAATAGCTAATAAATATACAAATACAATTTGGGATATAGAGATAAATTGCTTTCAGAACTTTTTTTTTTTTGGTCTTTTTGAGACAGGGTCTCGCTATGCAGTTCAGGCTGGCCTTGAGCTCACTTTGTAGCCCAGGCTGGTCTTGAACTCGAAACGATCCTCCTGCCTCGGCCTCCCTAGTACTGGGATTACGGGCATGAGCCACTGCGCCCTGCTGCTTTCAGACCTTTTGTAGAGGATTTTACCTGTGTTTTATCACATCCTGAATAGGCCTTAGAATACAAAGCTTTTAGACATAAAACTAATATACTGAAAAAGAAAAATTCTTTTCTGTTCTTATTTGATTTGATTTAGTTTATCCTTTTGAGGCTTGCTGTGCATCCTAAGCTGGACTGAAACTCACAGTCCTTCTACCTCATCCAAGTGCTGGGATTACAAAAGTACACCGCCATGATCTGCTTTTTTTCCCCATTTTTAATCTAGGATTTTTGCTTATCTCCATTCTTCCACAAAGTGTTCCACAAAACTTAAATTTAAAATAGGTTGGATTTTTGCGGAGCATTGTAGCACATGTCTGTAAGCCAGAATTTAGGAGGCTGAGGCAGGAAAAGCACTTAAGTTCAAGGCCAGCCTGAGTTACAAAGGCCAGTGTGAACTACCTAGCAAACCTTGTCTCAAAAACAAGAAAGCTAGGTTCTATTGTTAGTTATATTTGCAGGGTTAACATTGCTCTTCATAATTGCTACATTTCTTTAAGGCATGGGATATCTCAAGAGTCAAGATCAGTTAGACTGGGCTGGGGATTTAGCTCAGCAGCATAAGTGCCTGCCTTGCAAGTGTGCAGTCATAAGTTTGATCTCCAGTACCAAAAAAATAAAAGATCAGTTAGACTGTTTAATGGCTGTTTAGAATAAAAAAGCTGTTTAGAGTAGAAAAGCTTTTTTGTTTTATTTTGTTTTAAAATAATATTAGAAATATAACAATAAATTATTTATCTGAAGTTTAAAAATGTGATTCTTTGTACACATTGACTGATTTTTACTTTCTTTGGGATGTCTTATTTGAATTTCAGGTGTGCATCGCCAGCTTCTATATGTGACTTCATTTATGTTTATTGGGTATTACCTTCTAAAACGGCAAGACTATATGTATGCCATAAGAGATCATGACATGTTTGCATATATGAAATCACATCCAGAGGATTTTCCTGAAAAAGGTATTTCAAGTTCATTGTAGAAAATCTGTTTCTTTGCTCTGTCTCATATTTGCTGGTTAATGTTATCCATGCCTGTGGTTTCAATTACCTTCTATGTTCTGTTGACTCCCTTTAAGTTTCTTTTTAATGCCTTTCCCTTCCCACCTCCTTCTCTCCCTCCTCCTCTATTTTCTCATTCTCATTCTTGTTGGTATTAATCATAGCTCATGTTTGTGGTATACAGCATTTACATTCACTGACATCATCAGGTTCCTTATTCTACTTTCTTCCCCTCTCAGCCTTCACTGGGGTCCCTTGGACACTTTTCCATTTGCAAGAAATCCAACCTCTGTCTTCTATCCATCCTTTATTAATCTCTTTGTACTTTGCCTTGCTCAAATGAGAGATAACCCTAAGACCAAAAAAAAAAAAAAAAAAAAAAGTATCAGTGATTTCCAAGCCATAGTTGAGGACAACAAAATAAGGAAATGCTTAATCCTTAATCTGTTTGGACTGCTATAATATAATACCTTAGACTGTGTCGTTTAGTATCAGTTTGTTGTTTACTGTTCTGGAGATTGGGAAATCCAAGAGCAAGGGGCCAACAGTTTCAGTGTCTGGCAGGGCTTTTCTGTTTCATAGATGGTAGAAGGGGTACACATACTCCCTCTGGTCTAATTTATAATCCCATTCCTATCCCACAGGTGCTAATCCCATTTATAAGGGCTTGATCTTCGTGAACCAATTAGTCACCTCCCAGGGGCTTAACTTTTATACTGGGGACTGAACCCAGGGCTTTTGCATTGAGCTGTTTCCCCAGAATTTGGGTTTTTTTTTTCAGTTTTGAGGTAAGGTCTCACTAAATTGTTAAATTGTCCAGGCTGGACTCAGAGTTGTCCTAGAGTTCTTGGATTACTACCATGCACTACCACCCCCAGCTACCTTTTCCTCTCTTAATGCCATATAGCATTGGGGAAATAGGTTTCAACATAAGGAATTTTGAAGAGAGGAAAGGAAGGTGGACTAAGGGATATAACTGCAGGTCTATTTGAGTGTGTAGGATGGGAAACCATATATATTACTGAGCTTTCCTTGGATCATTGAATGGAACTGTCTCCAGTATCACTGTATGAATGTCCACTTTATATGCTTTAATTTTATAATTTGGACAACTGTTTCTAAGACGACAATATGTAACCTATTAACTAGTGATTTCTTACTGTATATTTTTTTTCTTGAAATTCTGTATTGTACCCTTTTACTGCTTTGTTTTTTTATGTCCTTTTTTCTCTTTAAATTAAAAAAAAAGGAATTTTGGAAGGATGCAGATATTCTGGACTAAGCTTGCTGTCAGTAAGATTGCTTGGTGTTCATTTTTGTATTTTAGGAAAAATTATATATTGTTTTAGTTTTTGAGACAGGGTCTTGCTATGTCATTCAGGCTGACTTTGAACTCACTATATAGCCTAGGCTGGCCTCAAACTTATGGTGATCCTCATGCCTCAACCTCCTGAGTGCTGGGATTACAATCATGTGTCACCATACCCACCAACGAAATATAATTTTTAAAATTTATTTTGTGGTACAGGGACCTTGTGCATGCTAGGCTCTACCCCTGGGCTACAATCTACCCAAGAAATATAAATTTTTAAAAATGATTTAAAATTTTTTTGCTTTCCTTTTTAGATAAGAAAACTTACAGTGAAATTCATGAAGAATTCCATCCAATTCACTGAAGTCTTCAGAACACTTCCATTTAATTGAGACCTGTTATTTCTGAATTTTATGGAGTATGTTTCTTTGACTGAAGTTGATGTTAGTCTCTATGCTACAATTAAAATGATTATTATGAGTGCTCTTGACTTTTTTTTATTACAAGAAAAACTGTAAATAGCAGACAGACAGCTTTCATTCAGCTAGTTTTAAGAAGACACCTGAGAGATTTATAAATGGATTTTGGAGACTGGGGATGTGGCTCAGTGGTTGATTGTTTACTTGGCGTACATGAAGCTCTGAGCTCAATCTCTTAACACTGCAGAAAATAAATAAAATGAAATATAGTTCTAGGTTAGATTAGGAAAACTGCAACTCTTGAGAAAATATTCCCCATTGCCAATAAAATTTTATTGCAACACAACTATGTTTGTGTGTTGTTTTGGCAGCTTTCATGTTATTATACCTTTTAAAGCCTGAAATAGTTAATATTTGGCTTTTCCAGAAAAGGTTTGTCTGCTCCTGTCTATTGCAGGCAACTACCCAGCAAGCCAGGTTATTGGAAAGGATTTTTTTGAGTCCTCTAGACTAATTTTGATCCCGTACATATTGCAAAGTTCATGAAAAGGTTTTTAAGGAGCAACAGTCAGGTTCTGAACTCTGCAGAAATACAGAGGGTGATTTAGAAGAAGGAGACTTGGGGCTGGGGATTTAGCTTAGCAGCATAAGCGCTTGCCTTGCAAGTGTGTGGTCGTGAGTTTGATCCCCGGTACCAATAAAAAGGAAAAAGACAAAAAAAAAAGACTTGAGACAGGGTAAAGGATTGAAACCCTGACATTTGGAGCCAGGCATCTAGCTAAGTGGCATAAGCATCTGCCTGGTGAGCTGAGGTCCTCAGTTCAATTCCCAGCACCACCACCAAAAAAAATCTGACATTTCATATGGGCCTTAGATGGATCATCCTGGAAAAAGGGCTTCATGGCTAGTCTATGATGGGGCTTCATACAGTTAGAAATAAAAGACTACAGCTATGTGGAAGGAGGTGGTTTTTATGTCCAAATGCTTTACAAATAGTTCTTATTTTCAGACTCATTTAATCAGATTAGTTTTTTTCTGTTATTTTTTGGGGGGTTTTGATTTGGGGATTGAACTCACAACCTCACTTGCCAGGCAGGCCCTTGTGCCACTAAGCTAAATAACTGGCCCCAGATTAGTTTTTGAAGATCACTAAAATGACTTCAGATTGTGTGGCAGCATGAATATTAAGCAGGGGCAAAGTGTAATTATCAGCATGCTACTTGTAGAAAATAGAATCCCAGACATGGTAGTGCATGCCTGTAATCTCAGCATTTGAGAAGCCAAGGCAGAAGGATTGCTGTGAGTTCAAACCAGAGCTACACAGTTCAAGGCTAGCCTCAACTGCACTGTGAGACCCTGCATCAATCATCCTCTGTGCCCCTCCCTGCCAAAAAAGGTACACAAATACAAAGCATTTTTTTCTTAAATTGCTACTACAATAAATATTTATAGGTTCATCTGTTCAGTTTCAGGGTACAGCAGGGTGAACCATTTACTGCAACGGCCTCTTCTGTAAAACAGCAAAGACTAGGGGCTGGGGATTTAGCTCAGCGGCATAGCATCCTGCCTTGCAAGCAGGCAGTCGTGAGTTCGATCCCTGGTACCGAAAAAGACAAAAAAAAAAAAAAAAAAAAAAAACAGCAAAGACTAGAGCAAATACATAGGAGAGGGTAAGAAGAAAAGTCAGCCTGTTGCAATAGTTCTCACATGCCAGGTTCTTTTTATTGTCTTGTTTCATTTCTACAACCTTGTAAGATAGACTTCAGACTCCCCAATTTGTATGTGAAGGAATTTAGGCCCTCGTGGGTGATTGAAGGCACACAGGATGACACCAAAGGAGGGGTGTGAACACTGGTTGTGTGCTAACACTTCTGCTCATTCTGCGATACCACTCTGGACAGGCAATGCTCATGAATCACTGGTCCCCACGTTGCTAACAAGAAGGAAATGAACTAAGTAGCGACAAACATCCTAAGGTTAGCCAGTGACTGGAGTCTGCAAACAAGCTCAGAGAAGTAGGGAGCATCCTGGGCCACAGGTTGCCTGCACTTCCAGCTACAGGTTGAGACCTTTGTGCTATCAGGGCTGACAGCTGCTGTGAGTCTTCATCCCAGAGGCTGCCTCTCCTGTAAAGTGCAAAGTGCGGAAAAATGTTAATACCGAGTGACTATAAACTCAGTACTACCACATGCCCATTGAAGGAGGAACAGCCATGAAAAAATTGATAATTGTTGCTGGAAAAGTGGCAGCACTCCAACTGTGAAAAATTACAATAATTGGAGCTGGGATGATTCATTTCTCAACATTTTACTAACAGAAACAGGCAGAGAGGTTGTCTAGGACCATGGCAGAGCTCAGATTTAGTTTTAGTGTTAGACCCCAGATTTTTGTTTTGTTTTGTTTTGTTTTGTTACTGGGAATCAAACAGGGCCTTGTGCTTGCCAGGTAGGCTGTGTGCTGCTGATGAGACTGAGATGGAAGACTGAGCCCAGGGGCATCTGCACCAAATATGGTAGAGGGAGTTCTTTTCTTCTTTTTGAAACTAGATCTCACTGTGTAGTTCAGTATGACCTTGAACTTGTGGCAATCCTTCTGCCTCAGCCTTCTGGGTGCTGGGATGACAGGAGAATGCCACCATGCCTGGCTTTTTTTTTCTTTTCCCGTACCTGCATCGAACTCATGACCTTGCACTTGTCTGGCAGGCACTTACACCACTGAGCTAAATCTTTGGCCCTTGGGTTTTTGTTGTTGTTGTTGTTTTGAGACAAAGTCTTGCTAAGTCGTCCATGAAAGATGGACTTGAACTTGTGATCCTTTTGCCTCAGCCTCCCAGTTAAATTTGAGAATCTCTGGAAGCCAGGGGGAAGCCACAGGGAGAGAGGAATGGATTTACAGTAGACAGTTTGGATCTGAAGGGAAGAAGTGAGGAATGGCTGGAAAGCCCTGGAGCAGAGCTCCGAAGGCTTATGGAGGGGTCAGGGTGTCCATGTCAGTCTACTCCCCATCATTAGAACATCAGCGAGTGGGGCTGGGGATTTAGCTCAGCGGCATGAGCGCCTGCCTTGGAAGCAGGCAGTCGTGAGTTCGATCCCTGGTACCGATAAAAAATGAGAAAGACAAAAAAAAAAAAAAAAAAAAAAAAAAAAAGAACATCAGCGAGTAAGTGTCTTGGTTACTTTTCTCTGGTTACTGGGACAAAATACCTGACACCCAAAATGAAGGAAGGAAAGGTTTATTTAGCTCACTGTGGAGGGTTTAGTCCATAACCAGTTGGCTCCAAGGCAGGGTGGCGTGGCACTCAGGCAATGCTTCAAGGCAGCAGCCTGACCAAAACAAGGGAGGGGGGCTCTTTTCCTCCCTGACATTCTATGCAAGCCACCTCCTGCCCGCCCAGGGTGGGTATAACACTCACAAAAATCTCTGCCTCCTCTTGTACAAGATGAGGATGTTTACAGATGTTTATAGAGCCCTGGCTCCCTGCTGAGTCCCTTAAACTCCTAAACTTCTCAAGTTGACACAATGTGTCAACCATAAGAGTAGGTATTCAAAGAACACTAGTCTAAGGCCAGTCTTGCTTTTTATCCTGTCACTGTGACTTTGAGTGAGTTGCTCCACTTTTTTGGCTTTAATTTCCTTATTCATAAACCAGGAATACAAATCTTATCTCATACATAAAGCACCAGGTAGTTTGGGGATTCTGAAAGACAAAGATGTGGTTTATAACTGTTGAAGCCGGTCTGTGGGAGCAGGGCTGGCAGTGGCACAGAGTCAAAACCGGCAGGTGTGATGGCTGGATTCTCCATGTCTTTCCCCTTGAGGAAGCCACCGACAGCTTGGCCAGGTCCTCTTCCTACCCCCTGTCCTATGCTAAGACCTGCTGGTCAGTGTTGCCGCTCACTCACACTCCACACCCCAGCCCCTCGACACATGGATATATGGGCTCAGACTCCAGCACACACGCATATCACACACAGAGGGGCTCCAAGGGGCACACTTATGTGCCTAGAATCAATTCAGGCTCCAAGACACTGACCCTTCAGCTGTTTGGTTGGTTGCAGTCCAGGATGCCCCCTATCCTGTGGCAGGAATGCTGTGAGGAGCTTCACTATGTACCCACCACGTGCCTTACAAATGCAATTTGCTGCTGGGCATGTGCACAGCACCACCATGTAATGATTGTGAGATCTAGACTAGTCCAGGCTACACAGTAAGTTCAAGGCCAGCCTAGATTACAAAGCAAGTCTCAAAAATAAAAACAAACAAGAAAACAAAACATTATGGAGGAAAAAGATAATTTCCTGTGACTTGAAAAAAATGAAAAGCACTGCCATGCTCACATAGGATTCACAGTGCATACCTAAGTAAATATGTCTTCATGTATAGAACAGAAATAATAAAAGTCATGTTTGTAGAGTTACTGTGAGGTTTTCTTTGCAGTGCCAGGGACCTTTGCACTAAGCTCCATTCCCATCCCTTTTATTTTAAGAAATAGTCACAAAAATCACTAAACTGCCCAGACTGGGCTCAAACTCCTGATTCTCTTGCCTCAAATTCCCAGGGTGCTGGGGTTACAGGTGTGCACCATCACATCTGGCTGTTGGGAGAATTCTGAGTCAATGCTGTGCTGGCATTTAATGTGAGCTCAAAGCTACATGACAGTAGAAGTTCTAAGGATTCGTAGAGGTGCTTCATGGAAGGCCTTTCCCCTGACATTAGTACAGTTACGTGTCTATGTACCTAAACAGAAGACACTCCATGACTATAGTCAGGGTCTTTTTTTTTTTGAAATGTTATCTCACCATGTAGTCCACACCGGCCTTCAATCTGGAGGTGATGCTTCTGCCTAAGTATCCCGAGAGCTAGGATTGCAAGTGTCCAGCACCAAACTGGGCTAGAGTTTTCATTTTGTTTTGTTTTGTTTTGTTTTTGGTACCAGCAATGACACTCATGACCTCATGCTTGCTAGGCAGACACTGTGGCACTGAGTATATTCCTGGCCCCATAATGGGATTCTTAAAGAAGTGCATAGGGAAAGCATGCTCCCTCGCTTCATGTCTAAGGCCTTTGCATGCTTACTAACGAACCCATGCACAGACACATGTGTGCCTGTGAGCTTTGCACACCTATGCTCCTTTTGCTTGCCTCCCTAACAGCTCTCCGCCATTACTCACCAATACTGGGTCAGAAGAGTCATAAGGCCAGCCCAGTACTGGGCCCTCTCAGGTGACAGTTCCAATACCCAGGTGTCTGTCCGAGAGCTGAGCGACACCTCTCCCACTGGGTTCCCAGGGAAGTCCCTCCATGGACTCTGACCCATGAGTGTGGCCACCATTACCTTCCTCAGAGCTTGAGCCTACAGAATCTGTCCTGTTATTTCTTGGTATTTCCTCATCACCTCCTGGGCTTTCAGGGTGAGGTGGGTAAAGATGTGGTGGAGGCTGGAGAAGTGCAGATGGACCTGGGCTTCCAGGTCCAGCTCTCTGGAGATCCTCTCCTCCTCTGTGTCGACGGCTTCATCGTCCTCGGCTTCCTCGGCTTGGCCTGCTGCCTTGGCCTGCCACTCTTGCCTCGGCAGCAGCCCGTGGTCCACTTCCACACGGATGGTCTTGAGCATGGTGAAGTAGGTGTAGAGATCAGCGCCCTCAGCCTGCTTCCCAGGCTCAGTCAGCTGCACATCCTGCAGGAGGCTGGGGATCATCACCACCTGCTCCATGTTGCGTACCACGGCCGCGTACCTGTCCATGACAGTCAGCAGGCAGTTCTTGGGGTAGCGCTTGGTGAGCACCTGCATGCTTGCTTCCTCTTGCACGCTGAACCAGTCAGGCTATTCCGGCAGTATTTCTAGGCTTTGGCTCAGATGACAGGTTGAAAGGATGCCAAGGCCCAGCCACTGGGTCAACACAGCTTTAAGCCAATTCTAGAGTCTGGGCTCTGACGTCTATATCTGGTGATCCATCTGCCCAGGGGCAGACCTGCCAGCCTTCTGGGGGTCATTCAGTTCCACAGCCTGCCCAGCTCTTCCTGCAGCTGCTTGCAATATCAGTTAAAGAGAAGCTTTTCCCAAGCAAGGGAGATAACTCAGCGGCACAGTGCCTGCCTGGCAAGCTCAAGGTCATGCGTTCAATCCCCAGTAACAAAAAAATAAAACTAAAATATCTGGGGAGCCAGGTAACCCGAGACAGAGAAGCTTTTCCCTTTGGCAGCTAGTGTACGTGACCCCAGGACAATTGGTCATTCTTGCGGGTTACCTGAAGTCAAGCTGCCACTTGCTGCCTACTTGGGGTGGCCTCCTAAAACACACTGCCCACTTTAGCCTGGGTTGCCTCAGCTGTAAAATGAATAAGGGAAAAGAGCTACAGAATTGAATAGCCTGATGTGGGGCAAAGAGAACTGACACTGGGGCCAAAGCACAGTGAGAAGAAAGCATTGAACCATGCTCATGTCCTGAAGGTCTTCTTTGTCCGGGCTGCTTTTCCACCACATGCTTTATTTCAAACAAAAGTCTTAGCAGAGGCATTAGCCCACTATCACTCCAGTCAGTCAGCAGGGATAAGTATTTGCATAAAAGTGGCTGAGAGATTGAAAGTTCAAGGCCAGCCAGTACTACAAAGGGTGTTTGAAGCCAGCCCAGTTATATAAAAAAGACTTTGTCTTAAAACAAAATAAAACATTACTGGAACTATTATAAATTAATAAAGAATTTATGCCTGTAATCCCAATACTCCAGAGGCCAAGACAGGAGGATCACTTCAAGTTTGAGGCCAGCTTAGGCTTTAAAGGGAATTCAAGGCCAGCCTGAACTGCACAGGGGACCCTGTCTTGAAAAGAAAAAAGAGAAAGAGAGGGAGAAGGAGAGGGAGAAGAAGACAGCATTTAAGTTTGAGGCTAAAGACATAGCTCAGTAGTTGAGCACTTCCTTAAATTGGGAGCCCCTGGTTTTGAATGTCAGCACACACTCAAAGTAAAAAATTTACTAGATTATGTAAGTAAATTTACTTTACCTCTAGTCCTATAACATTGTTTGAATTTGAACTTTACTGGGAGAAAATTTCAAGTGTTTTATCCCCAAGAAAATGGTGCTTCTAAACTGGATGTGATGGCTCACGCTTGTAATCCCAGCACTTGGTGAGCTTGAGGCAGGAGGATCATTGCAAGTTTGAGACCAGCCTAGGCTACAAAGTGAGCTCAAGGCCAGCCTGAACTGCATAGAGAGACCCTGTCTCAAAAAGAAAGAAAGAAAATGGTGCTCTGTCCTATTCAGGTATCCAAGATGGCTGAGCAGTGGGTACAGCTGGAGACTAGGGACAGTTTAGGCTCCCCTGATGCCCACAGGCCACTTACAAGGTCATGGGATTCCTGGCACTTGTGTCCACACTGTGACCTGAAAGGTTTAGAGCCCTCTCAAGGGAAGGCTTCGCAGCCCTGGTTGTGTAACTCGAGTCAAAACCCTGGGCACTAAAGTTTTTCCTCTCTGCCTTGGTTCATGCAATTTTAAGCCAGTCTAGGGTCATCAATTTAGAACTGGTAAATATGGTGCTCTGCTTGTGGTCAGGGCTATGACAGAGCTGACTTTGGCATGGGGAACATGTAGGAGCACCCCAGGAACAGCTGCCCCTGCCCCTTTTGCCCAGTGGACTGGGACAGCCCTGCACCTCCCTTACCAGTCTATCAAACTGAGACTGCTGCTCTTTGTTAAGCCTTTCCTGCAGATTTGGGGGTACTGCTTCCAAGTACATGGCCCTATACCTGGCTGTGTTATTCTGCTTCTGTGTGTGCATTTTATTTTTTATTTTTTTGAAACAGCATCCTCCATAGAGCCCAGGCCAGCCTTGAGCTCTCTATATAGTCCAAGCTGGGCTGGAACTTGAGATCTTCCTGCCTCTGCCTCTCCTGTGTTGGGACATAGATATGCCCCACCATGCCCTGCTGTTTGTGCATTTTAATCCCGTGTGGGCCTATTTCTAGAGGGAAGGAAGGAGTGGGTGAGTGAGTGTTCTGGGGAAAGGGCAGGGAGGGAATTAGCAACAGGTAACTGGATGAATCATGTGAATGATCACGTGCAGAGCACAGGGGCCTGGCCAGGAGTGAGACGACTCTCTGTGACTAGAGTCGCCCAGCTAGCAGGCTGCAGACGAGATTGCCTCCAGGTCTCCAGCAGACAGAAGAGTCTGGGTAAAGTGTTGCCAGCATGTGTCCCTTTAGAAGACAGACAAGGGATTCTCTTTGCTTGCTGGGTTTTTGAGACAAGGTGTCACCTTCAACTGACTGCTAGCCCAGGCCTCAGCCTTTTGTGTCCTGAAATTTATAGCTGTGTACTGCCACCCCTGGTGAGACAGACAGGGACTTTTAAGGGGACAGACAAACTCAGACAAGGCGTAGGGTGAAGAAGAGGAGACAAGAAGGGGAGACATAGGGTGTTTTCAGGGTGTGCACTGTTACCCAGCTCTCAGGGGTGCCTGCTGGGAATGGTAGCACATACCTGTAATCTCAGAATTTAGGAGGCTGATGCAGGAGGACTGCAGTGAATTCAAGGCCAGCCTCGCTACATAGCAAGATTATCTCAAAAAAATTAATTAAATTAGCAGGGCATGGTGGTACCTATCTATAACCCAGCTCTAAGGAGGCTGAGGCAGGGAGAATTGCTTCAAGGCCAGACTGGGCTACACAGTGAGTTCAAGGACTGCCAGAACTACATAGTGAGACCCTGTCTCCAAAACAAAATGAAACAAACAGACAAACAAATATCACATCTGCCCTTGCCAGGCCATTACAGGTAGAAAATCCCAGCAAAAGGGGTATGGTAGAGGTGGGGGAAGTAACAGAAATGTCATTTAGTTTCCCAAGTCTTCCCACCCCTTTCCCCCAGTAGCCTAAGGCTCCATGAGTGACATGCCTCGGGGGATGGCCTCAGCGGAGCTGCCAATGGCCCAGCGCTCTAAGCTGGGCAAACTGAACTAGCTCCAGATGGACTGCGGTCAAGGCCCTTGAGGCCAGGCCAGGGACACTGTGCAAGTGGTGTGGGGTAACATGATTGAGCATGGCTGCCAGATCCCAAGGAACCCTGCCTGGAGCTGAAATCCAGGTGGCTGCAGAATGGACACAGACGAAGGCTGGGACAAGCTTTCCAGATTTGTTTGGTTTTGGTTTTTGAGATAGGGTCTCACTGTGTAGTCCAGGCTGGCCTCAAATTCACTGTAATCCAGCCTCTCACATGCTGGGATAATGGGCAGGCACCATGCCTATTTAGCTTTCCAGTTTAAAAATGATTTTTACACACACAAACACACACACACACCTGCTCTCTATGGGCCCAGGTTATTCAGCTATCCTCCACCTCCTTTTTTGGGACGGGGGACTAAGGATCAGACCCAGGACCTCTAGCATACCGGACAAGTTTTCTACCACACCGTCACCCCGAAGGCTGTTTTTCTTCATGTGTCACTCCAGTTCTAAGCTACTGTGGGACAGAAAGATCAACAGTCATAAAGCATGCCTGCAGTAGCAGGCTGAGGCAGGAGGACCACCTAATGTTTGAGGTCAGGTTGTGCTACATAGTAAGTTCAAGGCCAGCCTGAACTACATAGACTACATAGAGAGACCCTGTCTCAAAACAACAACAACCAAAAGTGGAAGGCTGGGACTAAATAGAAGACCTTCCAAGATGAAAAACATACTTCTTCTGAATGGAAAATTTGGAGACATCAAGAGTCCAGTGACTAGCTAGGAAGAGACATTTACAGGGGGAGCAGCAGGCCCTTCCTCCAGAGGCCTCAGATCACCCCAGAGGCCCAGGCTTCTGCTTACTCGGGAATACTACCTGTGTCCGCTCTTCGGAGAATCCACCACGGCCCCGTATGAAAGCTGCCCAGAGTGGAGCCAGGAAGCTGGCAGGCTTCCCACCCAGCCCCATGCCCAGCCTCCCCCATCACATCCTCCCCTGGTTCTTGGAAAAGCCAGTCCTGCCTCTCCCTGATGCAATGAGCTCCAGGTCAGCCTTGGGCTTCTAGGACCGCTGAGTAGGAAAGGGGGGCCCACAGATCCCCCTACACAGCTGCACGACTATGGTGGCCCAGCCCTGTGGTTTACTGATGAGAAAACTGACAGCTCCACTTCAATTTCCATTTCTAGCCCTGTTTGGGTCCCTCCCCTGGGAGGACTTATTTGCTGCTGTATACATCACTTGCTAGAAGGCTATGAGATATATTTGCTTTTATTTTGGTGGTGTTGTTGGTTGGTGTCTTATTTCGGTTTGTATGTTTGTTTGTTTGTTTGAGACAGGGTCTCACTGTATAGGTCAGGCTGGCCTCAAACTCACAGCGATCCTTCTGCCGGAACTGAGTGCTGGGATTACCGTGTGCACTATCACACCTGGTTTAAGGCTATCATATTTTAAAACTCTGTGGCCACACAAGATTTGTCACTCACCAAGAGCACGTCTGCCTCATCCCCAGCTGGGGGAGTCCTGGACGCAAGAGCCAGTCCTGACCTCCCTTGGCCCCAGCACCTCAGGAGCATAAGGCTGCTGACCCAAAGGCTGAAGGGAGAAATGTGGGCTCTGTCTTCCCTCCGTGTGTTTCCAGCCATTTCTTCACTTCTTCCTCCCTGTTTTCCTTCCACACAGTTTCACTGAGCTTCAACAAGTGCTGTCCACAGAGCAGGGTGCTGTGGGGGAGGCCACGAATGCCAGCTCAGGACGCAGGGGGCCCAGCTGCCTCCTGCTCTGGGGCACTGAGTCACCCTCACTTGGAGGGCTCTTGTCTAAACTGATCCGGGGACCCCAGGAGCATCTAGGAAGCAGTTGGGGACCCTCCTCATGCTACACAAGGGCCAGGAGGGGCCTGGCTGGGGATGGAGGAGACCCAGAGTGAGACACACAAAGCATAGCATCTGGCCCCTGCTCTTCCAGGCCTTCTCAGGCTTTGTGTTAGTCAGCTGTCTGCCATGGTGACAACTCCCTGAGAGGAAAGGTTTACTTCAGCTCATAGTGTCACAGGTCTTGGTCAGCGGTCAGCTGGTGCCATTGTTGCTGGGCCTGTAGGTTGGCAGAGCATCTTAGCAGAAGGGAGAGAGGAGAAGAAAGGAGGAGAGAGAGAGAGAGAGCACTGACAATAAGACACCCCCAAGGGCCCGTTCCCTTCAGCTAGACCCTGCATCCGAGTTCCCATCACTTCCCTACAACCCATCAGATTCTGAGCTTATCCACCAATCAGCAGGTTAATCCATGGATGAGGTCACAGCCCTCGTGACCCAAAGCACCTCTCCTACTGCTGTGCTGGACACCACAAGCTCTGACACAACAGCCTTCAGGGACACAACATATCCAAACCCTCACGAGCTCTGAACCTGCAGGCCACTCTCAGACATTCCGGAGGACCTTCTCTCCTTCCAGCCCAATGACCGGCTCCTATTCTGGTGTCTCCATGACTCCTGTTTTCACAGTCCTGCTGCAATACCAAGTCCCATCCCTCAATCAAGCATCATCAGGGACCTCAGATTAGCTTTGTATCATTGCAATAACGTGTTACACACATCACAAGATGGGGTGTAACTCAGCAGTAGAACACACGCTTGGCATGTGCAGGGCCCTGGATTCAAATCCCAGCACCAAAAGCAAACAAACCATGATATTTATTTAAATGAAAATTTGCACGGAAGACCAATGAATGAGACACAGAGAAGAATCTATTTGGCTGAAGCACGATGGGAAAGGCAACAGCTCCATTCTTTTGCCAGCTCTCATTTGTCCTTAGATAACCAGAGAGATTTCACAAAGCACAGCTAGAAAAACCACCTGCCTGGATTAAGTCCAAAGCTTTATCCTGGCTGCACTGCCACTCTGGCCTTACTGCCACAGGCAAGTTGCCAAGTCAGCTCTCTCCACTCTGTGCCAAGTTCTGGGCTGGTAAAGGGGTGCCCTGCACACATCACCTGGGACCTTGGGAAGCTCAGAGCCTAAGGGGAAGATCAGACAACTAAACCAAACCTTTTCCCCGGGCCTAGTAAGGTAAGAGCTAAGGCAGAGAGACAAGGGAAGTGATTGGCCCAGCCTGGGAGTCTGGAGAAGCCTCCAGGAGAGTTAAACTTTGTAAAGTTAGCAAGGTAAAAAAAAGTGGGAATAATGTTAAATGCAGGACATTAAGGGAGAAATAGAAGCAGGCATAGTGGCACATGTCTGAAATTCCAGCAGTCTGAGAGGCTGAAGCAGGAGGATCACAAGTTGGAACCCAGCCTGGACAACTTAGTGATTTAGGGAGACCTTGTCTCAAAAACAGAAAGCACAATGTGACAGCCCTGAATTGGATGCCTAGTATATATATTTTAAAAGAAAAGGTGCAGGGGGGTCTGGCGAGAGTGTTTGTTTTCCTTTCAGTATATAGGTACATATGCACTCAGGAATACGCACTACATGGACAGTGCACACATTAAACACTATAAATGTAAGATATGCTATATGACTGTGTACAGGATATGCTATGTGTAATAAAAGATACATCTGTATATTATCAATTAATACATGTACAGTAAATAAAAACCTACATAGGAATGAAAACATATATTTAAAGACTTAAAGAGCCATCTCTGCAGTGAAAAAAGGAAAAGGTGGATAACGTAGATACTTTGTATTTATTAGGTCTTATTTCTCAAGCAAAGGAATGGATACATGGATATTTATGGATTCACTGTTTATTGCACTAAGTACTTAAAGGGGGAAGAGAGGATGCTTTCCAAGTAGAAATAACAGTTTGAGCAAAGTTCAAAGGCAATGATGCATTCTGCCATACCAATTTTTTTTTTTTTTCTTGTCTTTTTCGTTTTTATCGGTACCGGGGACCGAACTCACGACTGCCTGCTTGCAAGGCAGATGCTTATGCCGCTGAGCTAAATCCCCAGCCCCTTGCCATACCAATTTGATTAGTGACTCCTGCACTCTCTTCCAAGCATCAGAGTAAGTCTTCCTTCTCTCATCTTCTGTCTCTCTGTCTGTCTGTCTGTCTCTCTCTTTCTCTGGTACTGGGAATTGAACCCTGAGCCTTTGCCTAAGCTGGGTATGAACTCGTGATCCTCCTGCCTCAGCCTCAGAGTGTTGGGATTACAGGTATGGGCCACCACGCTAAGCCTCAGGAAATTTTCCAAATCTTTTCTCCTTCTTTCTACCTCACTCCCTGATATTCCGCCTCAACCTCACGCAGCTTCCCTTTCTGACCAGATCTGCCCCGCAGGCCAGGCTCTCAGCCCGGTTGCAAGGTCTGCCTTGCCGTTAGCCATTGGTTAATGGCTCAGCTCCTAACCTTGGGAGTAGCAGGCGAACCCAGTGCAGCGCGAGGTCAGCCGCTGAGGCTCGGCCAGCAGGGGGCGCTGCCGGGCAGGCCCAGACTCGGGCTCCGCCGCACCCCTACTGTGCGAGCTCAATCCAAACCTCCGGAATCCCGCGCCGGTGGGAAACACGTGCGCTTCCAGGCTCAGGATTGTTTAGCCTTCCACGGCGAGCGGGAAGGTGATGGTGGGAGAAAATAGTCTCTTTTCTGCAAGACATCGCTCACAGCACTGGCAGCGCCAGTGTTTTTTAGCTGGTTTGGAGGGAGGCTGTTTTGTGTGTGTTTGGTACTGAGGATCGAACCCAGCGGCGCTCTACCCCAGAGCTATATCACCATCCGTTTCCGTTTATTTGGAGATAAGGTCTCGCTGAATTGCCTAGGCCCCACGCGAACTTGCGGTCCTTCTCGGTCAGCGCCGGGGTTGCAAGCGTGGGCCACAGTCCCCAGGCTGGCAGGGCTTTTAAGGACCTACTTTAGCAGAGGGAAGCAAGGAGCTGATTCTGCTTTCCCTGCAACTGCGAAGTGACCCATGGGCTCCTCTGCTGTTCCGGAGGGAAATTCTTGCAGATCCCGTAGCTTTTCAGAGGTGCGTCCCAGGCCAAGCCACGCGCAACACCGCCCCAGTCCGCGGGAGGCGCTGGGCGCACACTGGGGCGCCGGCGGGGCCTCAGCCCTCCTCCTTCCGGCCCGGGGCTCCGTGGGGCGGGCGCGGGGGGAGCGGTAAGGGGTGAGGCCCGATGCCCAGAGCACTTTGGTGGGCGGTTAGGAAAACCCACCGCGACACTCAGCTGTGGCACCGCCAAGAAAGTGGTGCTCACATCGCCTCGGTGTCGGCAGGCGACCCTTCACACACTTCCAGGCACACTGGATGCGCTTTTGCAAGGAGACCCTTGGGGAGGTGGTCTACAGGAAACAGCTGGAAGCGCAGCTTACTGTGTGTCACTCGTGGTCACCTGTCCACTTCTCAGATCACAGTCAGATTCCAAACCCCAGAGCGCCACCTCGAAGACCCCTCAGATAGTTTTCTTTCATCCAGCACCTTGTACTCCCTGGTGAGATGTGGGTTGCGGGAACAGGCCGGGTGCTGACAGGTCTCTGCAAAGGAATTTCCAAATTCCTGCGCATTTCTACCTCTTCCCTGGGGCCAGGAGGGCGGTGAAGAGATGCTTTTATCTTCCTGGGGAGTCCTGCCTGCATTGGTGGTCTAGTCTCTGGATTGCTTTAGGGTTAGCAACTCCAGTGTTGTCTTAGGCTTCCAGGCCTTAGCTAAATTTTGAGGCAAGCTAGCTGTGGCTGCGCAAGGCTGTAATCGCAACACTCCAGGAAGCCGAGTCAGGGAACCATGAGTTGGAGTGCAACCTGGGCAATTTGCTGAACCTCTGTTTCAAAATAAAAAATAAAAAAGGTCAGAGGACAAGACATAGCTCAGTGCAAAAACTTTAGGTTAGGGTTAGGGCTAGTTGACTTCCAGTACTGGGGAAAAAAATTTTAAAGTTAAAAAGCGTTAACATGTTGTGAGAATTAGTCTCGGAACTCTAGCCAAAGTAATTCTATCTGGTAATGGGTCCTTTTCAGCTGTCCAGGGGGACCCTGCCAGGTGCTGAGGCTGTGCCAGACTGCAGCCCAGCCAGGTCATCTGTGCTGTTTGAGCCCTGCTTGTGAGAGACCAGGGCCACAAGAATTTACCAGTTGTCAAGGAATACAGAAAAGTTAAAGAGTTTATTGATGGACTGCAAGAGGGCAGCAGGTGAGTGAGTCCAAGAGAAGGCTGCACTGTCACGGTGAAAACTGGTTTTTGTTTTTGTTTTGTTTTGTTTTTTGAGACAAGAGTCTTGTTTTGTAGTTCAGGCTGGCCTCTAACTCATAGCAAGCTTCCTGCCTCAACCTCCTGAGGCTGGGGTATCAGCTACCACGCCTAGCTAAAAAGCTGAAGTTTTTATCTTTGATTTTAGCATAGGGAGGGGACTTGTAAACTTCATCCCAGGAATGTTTCATCAGATCCTGGTGGTTCTGTTGTCCATCTCAATTCTAAACAGAGCCAAGTGTTGTCTGAAGACTGATGAAATGTTTTCTGACAGAACCCTTGGTGCTGGAAACACTTCTCAGTAAAATTAATAAATTGGAAAGATTAAAGTTGGTGGAAAGGGGGAGGGGAGCAGGACAAAACAAGTATGTTTATACTTGAAATGGGCTTTGGATGTTGTACTGGGATGGGAGAGAAATGGTACTCTTTAAGGCATGTCTAGCAGTTAGAGCAGGTGGTGATGAATGGATGATCTTTTGCCCATAGCTTACATGGTGGTCTCACCACTCAGCTGCAGTGTGGTCTGTAAAGTGTTGGGAGCCGCGGCCGACACCGGTCGCCTTACTTGGCAGACGTAGGGCCTGTGGGTGGGAGCGGAGCCTGAGCTAGATTGCCCCTCCCATCGAGTGAGTCAAGTTGGCGCCTGCTTCCTGCCCCCTGATTGCGCTGGTGACTTAAACAGCCCGCGCAATAGAATAGTCTGCCTAGCAACAACTGATGTTAGCCAATCAGCCCGCATCGCGCGCTTTGAACTGATTGGCCACTGTTACCCTATAAAAGTAAATGCCTCTCCCGCCACGAGGGAGAAGCACAGAGAGAAAGCACAGAGAGAGATAGAGAAAGTCCACCGGCGAGAAAGGGCTGGTGGCAGAGAGGAGGCCTCGCGGGGCCCACGCGGAGACAAATAAAGGCAAGGTTGCACACCGCCAGACTTTGTCGTGTGTCTTTCCTGCCGGCCGGGAGCGACCCCGACATTTGGTGACCCGCACGGGGACTGATCAACCCCGAGACACGGCGGTGGTGTGCAACGCTCCAGCGTGGTGCTGCCGGACAGGTGAGTTGGGGATAAGCCTGGGCTCTGGGTGGCGCGCACCTACAGGGCTTTTAGACTCCCCTCAGGCTCACGCGTAGGTGACGGGTTCTTTAAGTCACACGCGGTGAGTTACAGCCCTTAGAGGTTGAGGATGGGTAATTTACCGAGCGCGGAGGCGCGGCCCTTGGTAAAGGCCCTTAGGAAGCTTTTAAAAGCTAGAGACCTCAGGGTAGGTCAAAAAACACTGAAACTATTCATAGCAGAGATAGATAGGGTGGCTCCCTGGTTTTTACCCACAGGGCATTTAAACCTGCCGTCATGGGAGAAGTTAGGCAGGGACCTCGCCTCGGCGGAATTGGGAGGCGATATTTCGCCGGCTATTCGCCCCCTGTGGGAAATGATACATGCGTGCCTTGACTCCTATGCCGAGTTGCGCCGCGAATTGTGTGCGTGCGCCGCTCGAAAAAAGCAGAGAGAGGAAAAAGGACCCCCGAGCGCTCTCTGGCGGGGAGGAGATAGAGAGCCATCCGCTCCGCCCTGGAGCTCTTCTCCAGAAGCGGCTCCCCGCCGAGAGGCCGCTACAGGGAACCCTCCCTTCTCTCAGCCGGCACAGGAAGTGACGCCCCGTTCCACTCTGTCGCGACCGCCGTCCTATGACGTTGCGCCGCGGGGCGGACGGTATTTTCATGGGCGGCTACTCTGCCGAGCAGGCTGAGAAAAACGCCGGTCGAGGAAACGGGGGCTGGGGATTTAGCTCAGCGGCATAAGCGCCTGCCTTGTAAGCAGGCAATCGCGAGTTCGATCCCTGGTACCGATAAAAAAAAAAAAAAAAAAAAAAAAACGAAAAAGACCAAAAATAAAAAAAATAAAAAATAAAAAACAAAAAGGGGGAGTAAGCCAAGGCCTGCCTCCAAAGGCGCGGTTATCTATGGCATGACAATGGATGGGCCCGGATCCGGTGGTTAGCTGGAACCGAGGCGCGGTTTGTGTTTTTCCGCAGGAACCGGGACGAAAACCACTGTGGGTCCCAGAGAGGTTGACGCGACAAGTCCCTCGACTGAAGATCAGGCCTGTTCCACCAGAGGCCAACCGCAGACCCAACAACAAGATGAGCCCTAAAAGAACTGCAGGACAATCCCTTTTTGGGGAGCCTGGAATGGCTTGCTCCCCTATGTTTTACCATTGCTAGGCCCTCTATGCTCCTTGTTCTTGCTCCTGCTTATAGGACCATGCTTGCTCCGATGGGTTACATCATTTATTAATGGGCGCCTTGCGGCGGCCCGGCGTCAAGTACGCCTGGTTGCCCATGCGGCCCTGGCAGCAGCCCGTGATGGGCACAATGACCCCCAGGCCTACGCATGGCTCGCTCGACTGGCCTACGACCGGGTCTAGATGTGGCGGGTCTTCCGCACTCCTTCCCTAATGACACCACACAGCAGGGTAGGTGAGTCAATGACGGGTAAGAGCGTGCCTCCCCAGCACGACTCGACCTAAGCCAGGCCCTACCCCATGGCGCACGAAAGCCGCTGGATTACTAGAATCTGACCAGATCTAGATGCCTCTCCGAGGGGATCACACGGAGGGGCATGAGTGCATGCCTATGTGCATCCAGGTTCCGTCCAGTTCACTCCTGGCCCTGGAAAAAGGACGAGGGTCTCAAGGCCTTGGCGGACCCGGGGCGGCCGACCAGGGTCCAAGCCAAGGGCCTACGGTGGGCCTCAACACAGGGCATAAGCCTCTGCACTCGATCCAGGGCGGGCTGCGATGCATACATTCATTCAAAGTAAATAAATTAGGGGGAGATGTTGGGAGCCGCGGCCGACACCGGTCGCCTTACTTGGCAGACGTAGGGCCTGTGGGTGGGAGCGGAGCCTGAGCTAGATTGCCCCTCCCATCGAGTGAGTCAAGTTGGCGCCTGCTTCCTGCCCCCTGATTGCGCTGGCGACTTAAACAGCCCGCGCAATAGAATAGTCTGCCTAGCAACAACTGATGTTAGCCAATCAGCCCGCATCGCGCGCTTTGAACTGATTGGCCACTGTTACCCTATAAAAGTAAATGCCTCTCCCGCCACGAGGGAGAAGCACAGAGAGAAAGCACAGAGAGAGATAGAGAAAGTCCACCGGCGAGAAAGGGCTGGTGGCAGAGAGGAGGCCTCGCGGGGCCCACGCGGAGACAAATAAAGGCAAGGTTGCACACCGCCAGACTTTGTCGTGTGTCTTTCCTGCCGGCCGGGAGCGACCCCGACAGTAAAGAAACAATGCTAAAATAACCACAGCTCCGTGCATTCCACGACCTTACCAGAGAGTCCTTGCTGACAAGGATGTCGACTCGAGAGCACACACAGCTTTCCCCAAGGCCCCCTCTTGGTTTTGATCCTGCTTTTGTGTTTTTTGATATTTTTTAAATTTTAAAACAAAATAAAAAATAAAAATACTGAATTTCAAAACAAAATAGTAGATTAACTCTGGTTAATATATTGTGTATTGTTATCTTCAAAGTACTTGTTCAGATTGCAAGATAGAGGCATGGAAAAACAGATCAAACAATTGAACAATAAAGGCACAACCTGTTCTTTTTAATTAACAGAGATTAGTAGTATAGTTATCTATCTTGTGTGTGTATACTATTATCTTTTCTTTCTTTTCTCCTTTTCCCTATTCCAGTTGTTCTTTCCTTTTGAGCAGTTTCTCTCACTTTCACTTTCTGAATATCTGTTGTACATTTTTGGATCTTATTTACTCTTAGTTTTTTACACGAGGGAGACAATTCCATATTTGCGCATGTGAATCTGATTTATTTCACTTTTGAGTGTGATCTCAAGTTGCATCCATCTACCTATAAAAGTCTCAAGCTTCAGCAGCATAATCGCCTGCCTGCCTTGTAAGTGTACAGTTGTGAGTTCAATCCCTTGTACCGATAAAAAACGCAAAAGACCAAAAAAAAAAAAAAAAAAAAGTCTCAAGCTTATCCTTCTTTCTAGCTGAGTAATACTCCGTTGTATAAAAATACCACATCTTTTTTATCCATTCCATGGTTGATGGGCATTTGGATGTTTAGCTGTTACAAACTGTACCGCTGTAAATATGGTGCACATATATCACTGTGGTATGATGTTTTCAGTTCTTCTGGGAAAATACGTAGAAGAGGAATACCTGCATGGGACCTCTAATCCTCATTTTTTGAGGAATCTCCACACTGATTTCCATAGTGGTTGTACCAGTCTACACTCCCACCAACAGTGAAAAAGAGTTCCTTTTCCCCCATACACTTGTCAGCACTTGTTATTGGTTGATTTCTTTCTTTTTTTTTTTTTTTTTGGTCTTTTTCCTTTTTATTGGTACCGGGGATCGAACTCACGACTGCCTGCTTGCAAGCACCTATTTATCCTGGCAGCTTACCTCAGGTGGAGCATCTTCGCTCAATGCCATGCTGATGGATGTAATCCAGCTGGCATTAAGTTGACCACCAGTTCTTAATCCATAACAGATAGATTCTCAGTGTTGTTTAATTTGTATTTCTCAAATGACCAGCAATGTTGAACATTTTTATGTATTTATTTACCATTTGTGTTTAATTTTAAAAAGCATAAAATGATGGGGCTGGGGATTTAGCTCAGCGGCATAAGCGCCTGCCTTGCAAGCAGGTGGCTGTGAGTTCGATCCCCGGTACCGATAAAAAAAAAAAAAAGCAAGCATAAAATGAAACAAACTAAACAGAATAAAGCAAAGCAAAACAGAACAGTGAAAATGATACAGGACTTTAAAACAAGATAATAGAAAATCAACAATGGCTATCATACCTACTCTTGTTATCATCAAAATAGCTGCCTATACCATCAGATATAGTAAAATAAAACAAAACAGAACAGAATAAAACAAAACAAAACAATGAAAGCAATACAAGACTTCAAAGCAAGATAATAGAAAATCAACAATGGCTACCATAATATATCTTATTTTTGAAATAGCTGCCCATGCTATCAAATATAATAAAATCAAACAAAACAAAACAGAATAAAGCCAAACAAAACAAAGCAATGAAGCTGAGCATGGTGGTACATGCCTGAAATCTTAGCACTTCGGAGGCTGAGGCAAGAGGATCCTTGCAAGACTGAGACCAGCCTGGGCTACAACGTAAGTTCAAGGCCAACTCCAGCTGCATAGCAAGACCCTGTGTCAAAACAACAACAACAACAACAAAACCATCAGAACTTTAAAACAAGATAATAGAGAATTAGCAATGGCTACCACCTTCAGAAGGGGATCCTCCGCAGTTGCTATGCTGCATATTGCTATCCTCCAAAAAGATGCTCAAATCACTGGCTTTAGGCCTGCAAAGTCAATCAAATACTGAACACTACAAGCATTGAGTTGTTTTTCTTTTCCTCAGTAGCTGTCAGCTTGGTTTCTCTGGCTGCTTACCAGGGGTAGGGATAGGTGGCCCAGCTCTTATTGTCTCCTAGCCCACGTGCTGACCAGTTCACCAGCAGGCGGCAGGCGGCGGCTTCCTGTTTCTTCTCCCTGCAGCCTTTGACTGCTGCTGACTCCCAGGAAGGGGTTTCAGTACTTTATGCGTTCTATATAGAAGTGCTTTTTCTGAAAGACAGTTGGCTAAAATTTTTTTTCATTCTGTGGATTTTCTTTTCACTCTGTTGGTGATTTCTTTTGATGTGCAAAAACTTTTTAAATAAAGTGAGATCCTAGTTGTTAATTCTTTGAAGTGATTCCCATGCAGTTTGCATTTTGTTCACACGCTCTCTGCCTACCACTATGTCTTTAAGATTTCTTTTTTGTCTTTTTTGTTTTTATCGGTACCAGGGATCAAACTCACGACCATACACTTGCAAGGCAGGTGCTTATGCTGCTGAGCTAAATCCCCAGGCCCTGTCTTTAAGATTTCTGCCTACCTTGTCTTCCAGTAGATTTAGTGTTTTTGTGTTAATATTTAGATCTTTAATTCATTTTTACTTTAGTTTAGTGCATGGTGATAGATATGTGTCTAGTTTTAGTCTTCTGCGTGGAAAGCCAATTTTTCCACCCTTTTTAAGGAGGCTATCTTTCTTCCAGTGAACATGTTTGGGCCCTTTGTCACAGATAATGTGGCTAAGTGCTTTTGTAGTTGTGTCTGCATCTTTTAGGCTGTTCACTAATCCTCAGGTCTTTTTTTCAACACTATGCTGATTTTATAATAGTAGCTTTGTAGTATAATTTCAAGTCTGAGATTGTGATGGCTCTTGCCTGCCTTTGTTACCCAGGATTGCCTTTGCTTTCCCAGGTCTCTTCTGCTTCCAAATGACTTTTAGGAATGTTTTCTCTAGATCCGTGAAGTATGTGAATAGAATTTTAATTGGAATTGCATTAAATCTGTATAACAATTTTAGGAGTATGGCCATTTTCACAATGTTGGTTCTTCCTATCTAAGAGCAAGGGATATCTTTCTTTCTTTTTTTTTTTTTTTGTCTTTTTCATTTTTATTGGTACCGGGGATTGAACTCACAACCGCCTGCTAGCAAGGCAGGTGCTTATGCCGCTGAGCTAAATCCCCAGCCCCTGAACAAGGGATATCTTTCCATTTCTGATATCCTCTTCAGTCTCCTTTTTTCAGAGAACTATAATTTTCAACATATACATCTTTTTCATTCTTTATTAGATTGATTCCTAAGTATTTCATTTTTTGAATGCTATTTTGAGAGGAGTTATTTCTATGATTTCTCTCTCAATGAGTTTGTTGTTTATGTACAATAATGTTATTGATGCTGGGGATATAGCTTGTTGGCACAAGCACCTGCTTGGCAAGCACAAGGTCCTGAGTTTTGATTCTTGGTACAAAAAAAAAAAAAAAGAAAGAAAGAAAGAAAGAAAAAAAAAGAAAATAATGCTATTAATTTTTGAGTGTTGTCTTTGTATCCAGCTACACTGTTGAATTTGCTTATTAACTCTAAAACTCTTCAGTAGAGTTTTTGGGGTCTTTTATGTAGAGTATCATGTCATCTGCAAATAATGACAATTTAACTATTTCCTTTCCAATCCTTATTCCTTTTATTTCTCTCTGCTTTGTTTTGTAATTACTGCTCTATAAATGTAGCCACTTGACAGGATGGAATATAACTTCCTAGGTGCTACAGCCTACAAGTTGTGTGTTGCTCTGTTACTAGTAAGCCCTAATAAATTCATTCCCTCACCAACCTGGGTTTGTCTGAGTGGGTTTTTTTATTTTAAAGGAAATAGAACAGAACAATAAAATGAAAAAAACAAAACAGTGAGAACCTGATATTGGATTTCAAAAATAAAACAGTAGGGAATCCACCATAGTTATTATATTGCATATTATTATCCTCCAAATAGTTGCTCAGACTACTGGCTTTAGGTTTGCAAAGTCAATCAAACAACACAAGGGTCAGGTTGTGTCTTTACTTCGGCTGTTATCATCTCAGTCTATGTTCCTTCGAATCAACCAGTTGTTCCTTACAGGGTGTAGGAGTTTGGTTCTTCTCTCCCTGCCTATGCAGCAACTGGCTCATGGGGGCTGGGAGGGTGGGTGGGGATGGTGTGCCTTCCTTCCTGGTTCTCCTCCAGCTAACATAGCCTCTGCTGGCTTGTCTAAGTGTTTCTCTGGATTGTTGACCCCCTTTCAGTTTGGAGGCAGATGTTTCTTTTATGTCTGTCTGGGAAATTCATGGAGCACAGAAACTTATGGGCATGTATATCACAATCACCTTTAACATGAGGATTATGGACCACCACTGTTCCAGATATTCTGGTTTACTAGGGATGAATCTGGGCCCAAGAATATGATTTTTTAAAATTTTATTGTTTGGTGTGTGTTTGGTATGGTGTGTATATGGTTCTGGGGGTTGAACCCAGGACCTTTGAACTGACACGTGGTCCCAGCCCTTTCTATTTTTCAGTTTGCAGGAGGCCTTGCTACATCACTAAGTTGCCCAAGCTGGGCTTGAACGTGCAATCTTCCTACCTTGGCTTCTGGGCTGTGCACACCACCATACCTGGCTAGCAGTCTGCAGTGAGGTAAGGCCACACAACAGGAAACGTGGTTTCTGGGTCTCTAGCATCCAGTTCCAAGCCTACCCACAGAGCAGCTTTGCTTCCTACATCAACCTCATAGACTCAGGTCCCTACCCACAGCCTGCTGCCACCGCAGAGGCTGCCCAGTGAGCCATCAGGCACAGTGTGCTGGCCCTTAGGGTGACAAATCCTCAAGGGAATGCTTGATGAGCTGTGTGTCTCCCAGTGCTAGAAGCCCAGATACCTGGGTCACCTTGGCTTACCAGGCAGCTCTCAATTCTGTGGCTGTTGGATTCGTGCTTTGGGGCAAGCAAGCTCACCTTCATTCAGATCAAATCCTAGGGGAAAAAAGGTCAGCTGACTCACTTCCCCAGGGAAATAATGATTCACACAACAGAAGCAGTGGGCGGATGACAGCTACTGAAGAGA